AGCAGTCAGTGAATTTACTCACGTTTGGTCTGAGAGTTTCGTCGACGAAAGAAAAATTTGAAGTCGTTTACATACGGGTAAACGGGGTAATATGCTCCGTTTTCAGAAAATTTCAAGGAATTAATTTATTTCGTTGCCTCAAACATGCATTAATTTCTACAGTCATATTTGTTGGAAGCAGTCTTGTTTTACATAGATAAGAAGAACGTAGATGGATAAAAAGCATGGGGAAACCGATTGTTTATGGTCTGGCTTTCAAAAGCAGCATCATCAACAGGAAAATTGGCCGTAAAACAAATTACAAATATCTCTTACAATTAGTGAACAAATAACACAAACAGAAAGCCATCCTCGATAACCTTATCTTGCATATTGTTACACATATTATATAGTGTACCAACCAGGGTCCGACGCGTCTATCCTTACGCAATACGCAACAATTGTGTCTTTGCAGTTAATACCTACTCGAACGGCTAGTGTGACCTTTGATATTACTGTACATGCCTCGACAGAATATAAAAAAATTACAAAACTTAAGTTTCAGCCAGATTAAATCAGGCAAAGTTAGTGTACGAGGAAAACTGTCAATAAGAAGCAACAAAAATTACCTGTTTACCTTATATGGTTTCTACTTTCAGCAGTTGACTATCGTCGAGGGTGAAAATTACCGGCTACGGTAGTTACATACGTACTAGGGTTGTAATTCTGAAACCCTAGCGGGGCGTCCCCCGTGGGGACTGTTCCGAAGGACGGGTTTTATTACATAATAACTGCAAAAAACTTCTGTTGTGGAGTTGTTTACTGGGAAGATTGCCTGAGTGCAAGCTGGACGGCTATTTTAGCGAAATAGTCTGCGGCAAGTGCAACCACCTCGCGTACGCGCATACGTGTATTAGTCTCGACTTTGGGTACCTGATTCCGAATTTCCGACTGCCACTATCTCCAAAATTTGCAGCATCAGTTTTTCGTTGTCACTTTAACGAACCCTCCCAGTTAATGTTTCAGAATAGAGAATAAAATTTAGAATTTTTTGATATTTTGAAAGTAGGTTTTTATGGAGAACCAAGAAAGTTATGCTTGTTTTGGTTTCTCGTAGACTTAGCATAGGTCCGTCCGATGGAGGCGTTGCTTGCACCCTATGCTATGTCTACGAGAAACCAAAACAAGCATAACTTTCTTGGTTCCCCACAAAAAAATACTTATCAGAGATCAAAAGCGTCAAATTTTTCTTTCTATCTTCTGAGATGTTGGTTAGGAAGTTTTATGGAAAGGTAAACGAAAAACTAGTGCCTGAAACTTTGGATCAACTGACATGACATTCAGTGCGTTCTTTCACTGTTCACATACATGCTCCACCTCTGCCTCTGCATCTCTGCCCATCCTGAGTTACAGCATTTCTGTCTCTTGAGTTTACAGTAAATTTCTCTCTATTGTCAGTAAACGTTCTGTCTGTCCTCAGTTACAAGCTCAGTTTTTCCCTATCCTGTGTTACAAACTTACAAGTTACAATAGGATTCGACATGGATCCATACCTACAGGTATATATATACATACATATATATATATACCCGTGGACGTATGCAGCGCTACGTCCTTCGGAAAAACCCTTAATGTTGCTCCACAGTACGCCAAGATATGGAGAGGCCTCCAGAGCGCAGAGTCGTGACCGATTAAACGCAATGCATGCACAGACAGACATCCTGCACAAGGATGGAAAATTGTTTTGAGAAAAAAACTGTGTGCGAGCAATTTATTTAGATGCTACTTTGTAATTTTAAAACACAGATATACTTCACTTCCATAAACTGAAGGTCTTAATTGTAAAATTTTATAATGGATGACTTTAGAAGGCATGCACGGAAACGGTGATGGTTGATACCGCATATACCCATGTGTCGTACAATAAATGTCTAGAACCTTTTTCCTGATCTGGAATTCTTACAGATGCAAAAAAACACGTTAGAAGCGAAGATTCTCCGACATGGCTACGTCAGAACATTGACCAGATAGCAGACTCGGTATTCCTGAGACTGCAGATGTGATAGGCATTGCCGCAATATCGCCCATCAGCATTTCACGACAACATAACTTTATATAAAATTTTATTTTACGGTACTGTATCTATATTTATATGTGGAATCGTAGTTGCAGTTACTGTTTAGCATGTACAGTACTGACCATGAGTGAGTACGTACTCTACTTACCTATGTTTACGTTTACGTCTGCATACGTTTGGTCGCTCTTGGATCGAAAGGGACTTCTCAGTTCTCACTTGGAATTCGAAGGATCCTGCGGTAAGATAATCTATGCAATCAAAATCTTTAGTTATATAAAATAAGTTACGGTATTATATTTACAGTGTATGTGGATAGCGTTATAAAAATGGGTAAACCGTAAATCTATTGAAAATTGCATTGAAATGACACAACACTGTGATAACAGTACTAATTCCGAGTAAATTTGCCGGCAAAACTTAAATAAAAAACTAGTGAATGAGAAATTTGTAGCGTTGTAAAAATTCGAATTACCAAAGCGAGTGCATGCAATCAAATTAAAGAAAATGCACACTATGTAGATTTCATCGGCTTATTAAAACAGCAACTTAAGTTACGTACGTAAATATTCCACTCGTTGCACAACATTAAACTTAACTTCAACACTGAATAGTAAATACGCATCAATGAAATTAGACTCGGAAAGAGTAGTCCCCTTCGTTCATAAAGCAGGTTTGTGAGGAGGTGCGGCGTAATTCAGACGAAACAAAAGCAACCTAGCTAATTAACACCTTAAAACAAGGTCAAACCATGCGTTGAGGATATTAATCCCGCGGCGAAACATAAACACTGCTTATTTTCAAACAGTTCAGCGCGCCCAGTAGTACATAGATGTACATTACATTCGTACATTACATTACATCATAATATACATCTAACTCGTAAGCTTCACTTTATGCTCTGATACAGATATCTCCTTGATTTCGAAATAGTATTGGTTTAAATAGAAATAGAAATATAGAAATAGAATATTGGTATCAAAATAGTATTTGTTCCCAAACAATTTTAGCAATATTACAAGGTCCGGAGGTTCTGGACAACACTGACTACGCAGTTACTGAAATGAAATCAACATTTTCTTAAAAAACCTCTCACTATACTGTTTCAGTAATGCATGGTAGAATAAACAGACCTATATCTGCGTATAAATGCATTTACGGTTCAACCTGGAAGAAATTACCACGAGTAGTACTCTATAGTCGACAATTAAAATTTTGAATCGCCAAAGGCCTGCATTCGTACATTACTAAATTTTATCATGAGATACGGTAGGTACAGACCGAACAATACAAATGCCGGACCCGGACCCGAAGTTATTCGGAGCAAACGAACAGTTTAAATTTTAAAACTAATCCACAGTACCTACCGCTTCCTTATTTCCGATTTTAATGTACTCTGGAGATTGCATAAATTTAGATAAATTCAACCGCCTTCTTCCAAAATTTCTTGTTAATCTACTGTGCAGCTGATACATTAGGTACAGGAAAGCACATGCGGCGAGTCGAAATGCAATGCAATCTTACCTGTTGCGCCAGTTCCGGTGTTCTTCTAAGAACCGAGCACGACTCCGAATCCCGTGTGGCCGAGTTGTGCAAAACGGGAGCTAAGGTTCCTCGAATAAAATGGACTTAAAGCGGGTGCCTGTGGATCTGCACATGTGTTTCTGTGCTTCCAAATTCTGCGCAACTACAATCGCTGTGTCAGGCGCAGATGGGCGAACCAAGCCATAAGCGCATAATTTGTATTGTGTACTGTACTAACCGTAAGCTGCAGAAAATGTGTGTTGGATGGCAATGGATGCGTCTGTCTCAAGTGTGTTTCGGCTTACTTAATTTACTCTTCTTCTGCTGGCTTAATTATATATGCCTAAACAAAAGCCGTACACAAAATGCCATGCAAGTGCCGTCTGGGAAAATTAGAAATGCAGGGAAAGACAAAACGAAATACGCTCTAGGCAGAGAAGCCAGGTAAATTTGGTAAACTCTCTTGTTTCTTTTCGCATCCGCGCTGTTTGTCTTCGGCTCTAGCTGGTTGCATTTGTCTCTCTGCTCCTGTTGCTTTTGTGTACAAAGAGGCGCATACACAAAATCTATTTGTTGGTTTCGATGCTATCTTGCGTACACAATGCACCAGCACAGGCACATTAGGCAGCAATATGCTGCGAGTCTGACTGTGCGTCCAGATGTTCCGAGAAAACTCACAACAGCGGCGAAAACGATCAGATAACCTTCGACTATAAGGTAATTCGTTGTACTTCGTAGAATAACTGTGAAGCAGTAGTTTTTGGTTTTAGCCGTGAGAATTATGAAACGAATAGTCTTCACAAATATACTATAAGTATAAGGCACATTTACTGTGATCAATGCCGTAGCGCTCACCATGGTCAGACATAATAACTCGTCTCACAAAAAATTTGGTATTCATTTTAATGTTTCCACGTCGGCGCAATCAAACAAACTGGTTCATGCGACCACAGCCAGTACGCCACAGCTGATAATACTGTACATGGTATCGTAACTATCGTTACGCATAAAGATGAACCGTAAAAACTTTAAACTGGTCAATAATAATCATAATGCATACAGAACGCTTGAATTGGGTTGCATGATGTTACTACCCAGATTAATTAAGTTTGAGTGTTGATTTGCGGTAAGTCATTTTTATTTGCGTACTGTAACTGCAGTTTTCTTTCTTCCAGCATCACTATAATATAGTGATGTCTTGGATACTGGAAGCAATATAAATCTTGAATACTGAAAGCAATATAATTATAGGGATAAAAAATATATTATATTCTTTATCCCTATATATTGCTTCCAGTATCCAAGATTTATAGGACCCGCCGCCGCTCAGCAGAAGCTGAAACTTAATAATTAACGGTTAAAATTAATCATTTGTAGAAGTACGCAAATGGTATTAGCATGTACAGTAACGAACCATGGCATCAACTTTATTATTTGCTCAACGAAACAATATTACTCCAAAACTGTGCAACAATAAAAAGCGTAATTTCGGAAAGTATCGCGTACTTGGGGAAGTACGTGCAACCATGAATCATCAGACGTTTCACAAAACGCCAGAAAATCCTAACGCGAAAACGCGAGGAGATCAACAAGTAAAACTTTTATATTGGAAAATGTAAAAAATACTCGTTTGTAAGGTAGGAACGTGAGTATCTAATAAAGGTAATTTTCGAAGGAAATACATAAATCACACTTGACTTTCGGGCATACTGTGGGCAAAAACAAATCTCTTGGGTCCCACATCGGATCGTTCCACTTCACTGGAACTGGCTCGCCTTTCATGGTTGACCACGTGGTCATCGAGAGACTCTGAGATGGATACTGCATCCTTTAAATTGGGCGTAGACTGGTGCATAGTCAGAGTCACCGTGTCTTGTTGGGAAGAAGTCGAACGTGACCTTTCCATTTCTCGTGACCGATGCATCAGTATGCCCCTGTGCAAGCCGGTCGGCTGATGGGCGTGCTCGTGCAGATATTCGCTGGAATCGAAAACCGAATGCCGATCAAACCCAACATCATCCAGAAAGGCATCATCATTTTCCTTGCTGTCACAATCGCTGTCGGACAGATCGTTCAAACTGGGATCCGGTTCCTCTTCGCTGTCATTGGGATCCATTTCGGAGCTGCTGGAGGACGATCGCGAAGCGGGCGTTTGTGCGCGGTAATCAGAATGTGAGGCCATTGAAGAATTAGCAGCTAAAAGGGGAACCGGCGGAGTGGAGTACATTTCCGACTCTGTGGAAGTTTCCATAACATCTTCACAACGGAGGGAATTAAGGGGACCTTTATCGAACGACGACGCTCGGCCGTTCAGTGCTTCTTCGTACAGATTACACTGACACGAGCGATCCTTCCGCATGGACAAGCGGAACACGTGGCCCAGTGTGTCGGATGGCGTCCGCTTCGGTAGGCCTTTACATAGATCCGGACTTAACTTTGGATGGTTCTTTTCGGTGGATCGCAGTGAACTGACCGGGTCAATGGAATCGGTTTTTAATGTCAGCGGCGGTGGGCGGTTGGTCCTTTCCGTTTTATTTTCCCCATCTTCATTTTCCGCTTCCTCTGCATCCTCACCGTGGTCTTCCTCGTTGTGCTCGGTATCGGTCAACACTTCCGAACTTTCTTCGGCGGTCCAAATTGCGTAATCCATCGGCAGCGTAGCTGATTTGCCCGTGCTTTTAATTTGCGTAATGGTCACTTGACGGGTGGTTTCTAAACTGGCCGACGTGCGGGGATTGATCAGCTCCAAGCCGGCTTTTTTAACCGATTCGAATATGCGCTTGCGAGATTTCCGTTCGGTTGGTCCCGGCAACGGCTTGCCTAGAATCTTCTCCACCAGTTTTTCTCGTTTGCGGACATCTCGCTCGCGCTGCTCCAGTTGCAGCGAACAGGTAGTCAAATCCAGATAGAGCTTATTAATCCTCTCCAGTTTCTTCTCATAGTGGATGCGAATCTCTTCGGCATGTTTCAGTTCTTCCTGTCGGCGTTTGTGCAGCGTGTACAGTTCTTCGACAAACCCGTCCGCCATCATCGCTTCGTTGCGCTTCCGTCGGCGCTGCTGCTGATTTTTCTGCTTAGTAAACGCGGAGCTTTGACTGCTCTTTATTCGAAAATTTTTTATTTCGGTATGGACAAGATCTCTCCAATCCTGCTGTGAATTATAGAACGCTGCTTCGGGCATGTTAGTCAGCTCGCCGGCTGCAATTTGCAGATGCAGAAGAATGTGGTGAAACGATGGACGATTGCGTGGTTTGTTTGCCCAGCACTGCGTCAGCAGCAGTCGGAAACCGTCTGGCATGGATGGCGGAATTGGTAGACCGAGGAGCTTCTCACTTCCGACGCCCCATATTATGGATGTCGAATCCAAGCCCGGATAGGGATGCAGACCGACCAGCAGTTCCCATAAGATGACGCCGTACGCCCAGATATCGATTTTCTCCGTGCACGGCTCATTGCGAATGACTTCAGGGGCCATCCATGCTACAGTACCGGCGAATGACATCTGCATGCTCTTCTGGTCTTCCGCCCAAGGCCGCATCGTACCGAAATCGGAGATCTTAACCAAATGGGTATCGCATACCAAAACGCTGCAAAAATATCCCGTAATTTACGGTAATTTTGTGGTGTTTAATTTAATTGGGTAATAGTATAATGCATACTTTGGTGATTTAAGGTCACGGTGAATAATCTTGTTCATATGAAGATACTGCATGCCGCAGGCAATTTGATGCGACCAGACAGCAACTAATGGAGGTGGAATTCTTTTATCCTCCTGAATCAGATCGTACAATGGTCCATACTGGCAATACTCCATTACCAAACAATAACAAGGAGGTTGGGTGCAAACGCCTCTGCAAGGAAATGGAAATGTATGCAAATAAATGTGATGGAAATTAAAAATGTGGTTACACAGAGTCAGCCATCGAAACATAACCTGTGCTATGTAGACTTTACGAAGCAACCAGTGCCAGCCAACGACAAAACATCAACTCATACCTAAATTGTCAGTAAAGTGTCCTTTCACACGTTATATACCTACCAAGACGCGCTATTTGACTTACGTATTATACGTATTAGCGGATGTGTATACGAGTATTAAAGTTAATAATATATGTTACGTGTGATGCTGTCACAGGTTGGTTAATCTTAAAGTTACTTGATGTGATAAACGGACATGAAATTTTGTAATTTGTCACCATTACTTACTTAAAAGCCACCAAGTTGACATGGCTGAGTTTACGGAGTGGTTTGACGTCCTCTACTTCCGCAAGCGACTTGACTTTCTTGACTGCCACTGGTTGGCCGTTATATTTGCCAAGAAATACTGCTCCTTGTGCCCCACTTCCAAGCCACTGAAGATCTTGGATCCGTTCGAATGGTATTTCCCAAGGATCTGCATACATAAACGAACGGTTTACCCATATGTCCAGTTAAATAAGTGTACTTTCTTTTCACCAGGCTTTGGACTCAAAAATCCACAAAATCTTTTGAATAAGCTATGCAGAAGTCATAAACTTGTGTAATGTTGTAGATGGTGCACATTCGTAAATCTTGAATGTGTGTTATGCTTTTGAAATTATGAATAAATATTGCAAATTCTAGTAGATTTGAAGTTGGTATATGAATATGGTTTAGCTAATGCTTTTTAGCGCATAAAATATTCACGCGTTCATGACATTTCACTGGTCACTGCGTACGTAGACTTTAAAGTCCCCAAGGTGCATTTGCCGGGATATTTCTGGACTGCGATGCATCTGAAACGTGCTTTCTACAAAATTGTGACAGCGATGTCTTTTATATTGTAGTAACCCATCCAGCTGCCGAAGCTGCTAATTAAAATTCGCTCGTGGAAGTAACCTCAGTACAATCGGTGTTGGATTTTTCGACCAACCATTCCAATGAATTTTTAATATAATTATCTTCTGTGTACCTTAATTATATACTTATGTTAGTATAACCGATAGCGTGATAATATAGTGGAGCGAATCTCTTTTGCGAAAGCACTAATATTTTCATTTGAAAGTTATAAAAGCAAATTAGCATACTTTCAACGCTTAGGTGTAAATCCTGATTTGACAGAGTTCTCATTGGTAAAATAAACCGTAAAATCTTTTTAAGTTCCATCTCACTGGATGATACTTTATGTGTAAATTTTACAAATTAAGCCCTTTCATTACGTTTAGAATTACAACGTAATTAAAGTATAGTCTGTAGTGCTGACTGTACTGTACTGATATCTGCTACTCGAATATCTATCATAATTCTACTTGACGCACCTTGGCTGGCCTTTTGTTTTGCAATGAGAGGCCATTTTGAAACAATTGGAGTGATGCATGATATCGATGCTTCCCATGCATGCCGGAACCATCCATGATATCCACTCGCATCTTCCCGACTAGTGCTGGGCAACTGAATGGATCCGGGAGAAGTGGACGATATTTTGTCGGCCGGTGCATTTACAGTTTGCATTACGGAAGTTTGCGTAACAGTTGTGGTCGATACATTCATGCCGGTAAGAATTATTTGGGATGGTGACAGTGTTTCTTCTGCTGCATTGTGATTAGGCTTTTCCGACAATGTAGCCCCGTTAATTCCCTGTAAGGAGAGCTCCGGAGACGCTTCGCCCATACTGACCGGAATCGTGTGCGGTCGTTTCGGAAATGCACGAAAAAAGTCAATATTACTGGATAATTTACGGCAGTGCTCAAGACTGAAAGACGGAAAGAAATGGGTTCCGGAAGAGGACGTTTCGGGGCGGAGATCGCTTTCAGGCTCGGTCAGTGGCGAGCCGTTTCTGGAGCTGGAGACATCCTGCTGGGCTACCGGTGCAACGCTGCTAGCCACGGCGGTTTCCACTTGAGCTGGGCTCCAGAAGTTGGGTCGCACTGATACGATGGTATCCTTCTTCACAGACGATGCATCTGGCGAAAAGGTACCACATCCATCCCGGTTATTACAGGGTGATCGAGTTCTGTAAAATTTCAATGCTAATAATCTTCTGTCAAAGTTCTGTGTAGCTACGCTTGTCAGTGCAGCAATAAAAAGTGCCAGTTAGGAGACAGTATGCAAAATCATACAAGCTGCTAATGATGGGTGACTCACTATGCCAAAAAAACAATATTTTTGTAATATCTGGAATGCACTATTCAGTGTACTCGTACATACATTACTAATTCTAAATACACCTGAAAAAATTTTATTAAATTAAGAGCAAGTAGATAATTTAAATTTAGCATCATTCGCGATCAGCTGCCACATGTATCAAACAAACAACCATAAAACGACTACTCGAATGAGGCGAAATTACTGACCAGTGAGAGCACGTCTGCACTTACGAACTGCTACAACAAGTGTCAGCGTGAACGTCATCAAAAATTTTGATCTGGTTTAAACTCTATACAATCGTAAAAATACTAAAATTGCTCTCTAAATTTGTTTAATACATTTCGACGGGAAGTTCGCACGAAAAAATTTATCCAGGTAAATACTAACTTCGATGATCAGCGGGTTTGATGGTAGCCAGCTGGCTGTTACATTATATTTGCATTAGAAAATGATTACCTTAATACCAGAAATATACGATAAATCGTTGCTAACACGAGTTCAACAGTCCGCACCTTCCGGTGCGTTCTGTTTGTTTCAGCACAACAATTTTAAAAAAGTATTATGTTTTTAACTTTAGAAATTCCATTTCGCTGAAAATTACTTCATCACGAAGAAATCGCTTACCGGCTTCCGAAAAATCCCGACCACATTGTATACACCCACATGTGCAATTTCTCTTGAAAACGTTACTGTCACAATCGTCTCAAAAGCATGTTTACAGTTATCACAGTCACACGCAGAAAAGTGTGGGAAAAGATGATATCAACACTGGAATAATATTCAAGGAAAAAGATATCCTTCGTTGTGTGATGCTGGCTAAGCTGCGCGCGCACGGTATTACGGTTGTGCGTAATTACAGCAGACCAAAATACGCAACTAGCTCGATAGTATTCCTTGTTTTTGTATCCCTTCCCCGTGCAGTTATCGATTTGTACTGAACACTTGTTCAGGCCGGTTCTCTCGTCATCCAGCCTTTGAACTAGATTTAGACTGCCGATCCCCATTTGCAAAGCAATCACGTTTTCTATGGATTTGTATAGCTGCGTACTCGTACTAACTAGTGGACGTTCTGTTGGAGAGGTAATCGATAGCAGTGCGCTCAGCCCGAACGGACACCGCAAGCAACTCCAGCGGAATAGACGGAAATGTACGTACGGTGGTATGTGCTCATCCGAAGACTGAAATGGGATTGCAAGGGAGAAAAATATTATGGATTGAGCGAGTGTGGATGCCCAGCACAATGAGCTTACGGTATGTGCATCCAATCAATCATTCTAATTTATAGAACCTTCTTAACATCCCTAACCAAGGGTTTTTTAGCTGACTCGTAGATGGTCATAGTTCACTCGGATTACTGATATCCCGTGTTCCATGTGTTCAATCTGGATCGAGACCGGCCGTCAAGAATGGAAAATAATGTGGACTGTGGAAGGTGTATACGAACGTGGTGCATACAGTCTATAGCACCGTGCGACCCTTATATAAACCACAAAATATTTAAATACTGAATTTTATCACAAAAAAAGTAAACGCTGAAATAGTTGTGTTTAGCGAAAGCAGACTTATCAGCAAAATCTCACGAGGAAACCGTAATTTTAAACTTTTAGACGTCCTTACTTTTTAACTTTAAGGTTAGTTAGCATCTCACACACTCATTTGCTTACTACACATCGAGCTGGACGATTAGTAATTAATTAGGCGATTAATATAAGTTATGCATAATTCACCCTTAAGATTACCTAATTAATTAAGAAACATGTCCGAAAAGTTAGTTACAATCGATGTAGCCTTCAATTTGATAACAATTATAAGTAAAGAATTATATCGATCATAAGTGGCAATTGCTTCTCGTAGCAAGATCAGTGGTAGAAATTAAGAGTGTGTGTTTTCACCGTGTTGATTTGTTCTACGTCTGTTCGTGTGGATCCCAGTTTCATGAACATTATTACTATATACTGTTGCAAGCATTGTCGTTAATGCTTTTGGTATTATGATATGTGTTAAGCGGAAAGTCTGTAAAAAAATCTCAAATACCACCTTCATAAAAATTTAATACTGATCCACGCCACCCGGTCAGTAGTTATAATGCGACGAAGCCGAAACTCAGCGTCAGGTTACTGATAATGCGATAATATTCTGAACGTACAATTTTTAAGACTCAGTGCGAAATCATTATTTTGGCATAAGGCACTTGAATTTCGCCGTGTTATTTTACTGTAAAACACTAATAAATAGTAAACACTTACCCCCAGTCCAGAAAAATTTTCCTTATCGATTGAGGTTAGTTTCCATCTACAGCATATTATGCAAAAGATTTCCGGAAGAAGAGTGTGTTTGTCCCAGTAACAAAATATTCAGAAATCGCTCGCGCAGCAGTTCGGTAAAGCGATGGAACTTCTGGAAACCAAAAATCGTTCATTAATACGCTTTTGTAGTTGAAATCCGTGTTAAAAAAACGGCAAAACAATTTCCTCCACCTGCACTATGCCGCTGTTCGCAAAACATGTGCAAATACAAATGCCGAGTGCCGACTAGAAACAAAGACACACATATTGCACACGTATACAAACCTCCGCTGGCAGTGGCACTTGCTTACTGCTTGACTGAAGTGGGAAAAAAAGCCAAGCTAGTCGAAAACGAGTGAGCACGTTGCAGCTGGCCGGAGACTATTTGTACACCTTGCAAGATCGAGATGGTAGTAGTAGCGCACGTAGAAAAAAACTAGCCAATTGTGTGAATCTTTAGTAGGTAGACCACATTCCACCGTGCTTAGTCATCGGCCCCAAATGGCAACGTAGGGTTAGCAACCGTCGTGGTCGATGCGCGGATGCGGCTTATGAACCCGGTGCGGGACCTTATACGAGTATATGTATCCCCGGCTGCTCAACAATTTTCTAATGTCAAAGCATATTTTTCACTGGGATTGTGCGTACAATTAGATCTGCTGATACCGGCATGTGGAACTAGATCGCCGCACTACTGTATTTGTGTTGAAAATCGATTGTAACAATAGCACCTGAAGGACATACATTTTTGCCGGATTAACGGGGAGTGCCGCGGAGACGTGCCGGTGCATGCATAACAGTTGATTAAACATGAAAGGCCCAATAAAGAGTCTACCACTTACGGCTGTCATAAAATAATCGATGCATCTCCTTGAGTAACTGTTTTTCTTGGGGTGTCAAATTTCGCGTATTGCAGCTGGAATATGGACAACATGTATAATTATAAGAAGAGTATTGAGGAAAAGTGCATAATTATTTCTGCTTGTTATAGCGTTTAGTAATGCTGTCAGAATAGGGACAAGCTGCTTGAAAGTACAAATATTTTCAATATAAGAAAGCAAGTATGGATGTAAGCAAATTTTTTAACTGTAGGGCTTTTGAATACGGGCTTTTTTTCTTTGTTATAGTGTCATTTAGTTCCCTTTCTGCTTTTTTTATGATAAATTGTCAATCTTAGTAATGAAAATACTGCTGTTGGAAATTCGAAACCACCGTTTGCTGCTATAGATGTGGTATTAGTAATTGAATTAAGTATTGTACTTATAATGCTTCTAACGAAAAATTTTAAAAATAGCAGATAAATCAGAAACTGTGACGCTGCACACTAGAGTCTGCCACGGGACCACGACTATGTTAACAATATCAGCTAGTGTCATAACAACTGGAATATTACACCTTAATTTTATATGTAAATTTTTGCAAACTTACGCGCTACCTACGTTCTAAAGCATAAGTTGGAATAAAAACATTAGAATTATTAATACATCGGTACAATTTGCGCTGTTTAGTAAGTTTCCATAATGCAAATATATATGCCACACCCTTGAAATTTAATACTAATCAGGCAACAGGGAAAAAATGCGTACAGGAGATATTCCTGGCGAATTCCTGCACTCGATAAAACACAGCGTCCCGTATAAAGACTATTCAAGTTTTCCTCCTATATACCCATTATAACGCCCGTAACAATTGTAGACCCAAAAAACGGTCCCTGCCAGTTGACCAGTGAACGTGCACATGCTTTCGGCATGCCTGGTTTAGTCTCTTCACAGCATCATTATGACAGTAACTGCTATAGTTCAAATCAAAATCTTAGTAATAGTACTAATAGACATTTAGTGTAACAGGTATAAGAAAGGGTAAAGGGTAACATTTAGTGTAACAGGTTAAAAAACTGGCTGTTACAATGTAGGCCGATTAAAACAGAACGATTCTGGCCCGCTGTAACTACACAGTCTTATAAAAAATGCAGTCCCTAGCCATAAGTTTTGACGAAGAAAACTGTATCTGCACATTAGATAAACAACTTGTACTGCATAATTTGTTAAAAATATTGAATTACGAGGTGTTAATACTTTCGTGTTTAATTCAGCCGTTACCTTAGGTTTCAATGTTTTTTTTTATTCAGAGAAGCTTGCGTGGCTTGTAGGCTTGAATTACCTTTTTTCGTTTGGAGCGTTAATCTGTACACTTTCTAGTTGCTACCAGTAGTTTCTTGTTGAATCGCAGAGCAAAATGACGATGACCACAAAAATGGCTAATTAAGACTAACTTTTATCCTCTCAATGAGTGTCAACTTTTATTAACTCAGTGTTTGGAAATGAATTAATGGTTTTTTAATTCTCATAACTCAGTCATAAGTTAATGTACTTATTATAATATAGCTTACTGGGTAGACCAATTACAGTACATATAACTCTGCACTGTGGAGCTTCAGTCGAGCATTGATTATAACTGTGTGAACTCTTACAGTTTTGCAGATGAGGCATTTATACCTTTAATGATCACAAAAAAACACAAAAACACAAAAAACACAAAAATAAAAAACATAAAAAACACAAAAATTATTAACCCCACAACGGACTCACAAGCCATTACTACAAAAAAAGGGTAGAAACCAAGAAATCAGTTTCCTACGTACAATGCGCTTTAATTTTGAACAATTTATGTTTTAAATATGGTCTGGTGAGTAAACAGTATTACTGCCGTTACAAAATCTCCATCGGTAGCGCAATGTATTTTAATTTGCGCATGTTAACCTTAATACATTCACCATCTACACGGTTTCAGAGCGACTGAATTATAAGTAGTTACGATATTTTTAATATAGCAAAATCAAAGGCACAAGAATATAACAAAATTGTTTCCTGCAACAGAGTTTCGTAGTGTAGTGCCATTTACTTTGTTTATAAGCAATTTCGAAGTTTTGACCGCTATCCTAATGTTTTGTACGTTGGCATAATTACATAACCCAAATTCCAAATGCTTATTTTGAATCATAATGACCAATTGCTTTACATTTTTTTGTGTTGTCGAGGTGCAACCAAGCTTTTAAATTGTAGAAAAGTAGCCCACGAAATAGTTATTACAAACGTTGCATCAAAACTTGTAAGCGGAAAAAGTTGCACTGTCCTTATGAAAAACCCAGCAAAGATCTGTGATTTACTGTGGCTTTTATATTATAAATTTTTACGTCAGTTTAATGTTTATGGTTTGATCCGGAACAATACCTGGCCTTCATGCACGTTATCTGACAGCATGCGCAATGTAGCACATGCCGGTTTGAAGTCCCTCAGGATAAAAGGTATTGCGAAAAAAAATTATGTGGAGGCACTGGAAAGAGCGTATGACCATAGGTCAGTCACTTTGGAAAGCGTTCTAAAATCACCGTGTATGTTTTTGGCAGTGTTTGAAGTTTAACGGCTAGTTGGCCAACAATACCTTTTAATTAGCAGTTACGTTTCTGTAGATTCCAAAATCTGGAATTTTGCTGTAGCTGCCGCGTATCTGACTAGCGAAGCACTATTACTTTTGAAACTGGTAGCATAACCAACAGCGATACCGATAAACCGAAAGCATAACAGAACTGACCGTGAGACTTACTTACGAGTACTTTGCGATTAACAGAAATGTTGCTAAAGTTCTGGCATATCCTACGGTAGCACTTCCGCTGACCAAGGTATCCATGCATTTATATACTCGTAATAGCACATTTATGGCATTACATGTATGTTCTGTCATATTTACGCATTAACTTCTTACAGGACAAAAATAACCAATAGGATTTATGGACCTGTTGTTAGTTTGTGTGAAAACTGCCGATAAGTTCCGATAACAGTTTATACAAGTACTGCAACCAGCCGCTTCACGACCCTTACTCAAAGTATTAACGTTTTCAAGTAAACTATAGTACCGTACAGTAAGTAATATTGCCATTAATATCAATCATTATTCGAAATACTCTAGCTTTACTTTTCTTGTACTTGTATATGTGGAAACCGGTACAGGAAGTTGAAAACGTAACTGACTTGCTTATGTTTTCTTCTAAATTTTCTTATGTTAAAATGACCATGAATGCATCAACTGGAATCAAATGCATTTAATTATGACCAACATTAGCTAATCTAAAATAATGAATTACAATGGAAAAACTGTTCTAACCGGTAACACAATCACCATTATTGCGCGCAGGTTAATTAATTCAAAATATCCTTAAAATTAGCACGCGCCAGCAGCGTAGCAAGGGTAATGTTACGATTTCCTATCTTCTCCTGCCGATCAATCCCATGGGATATGTAATATAAACTGAAGATCATTAATTCATGAGCTTTCTAATTACTTGGTTTTAGCCCGCTACGCCATGGCCGGTTGTGTGAAGAACACCATTAACCTACTATTCCAAAATTTCCGACAATCTTATGGCGATTGTGGATCCAACATTTGCGTATTTAATGGCTTAAAGGATGGATTCCAGTTGCCGGTCAATGTGAATATCCATAATCTGAGGCGCAGTGAAGGCAATGTGTGACTCGCCGGAATTGCCAGGAAATGGGCTTTCTTCCCGACAGGAAGGCACTAGCAGCTACTCCACAGCCTGTTGTTTAATGCCGTGTTCTATGCTGGCATAAGATGTTTTAGAATATTTTACCGCGCAAGCCGCCAAAAGTTTCCCTTTGGATACTGAGCACAATCATGTGAGCCCTTAACGTACTCCCAATAAATTAAATCAGAGTTAGTAAAATTCATGAGCCTTACCATAATTGTTTATTTCTACTTTATCAAACTAATATTTTCTTGTTAAATGGATACTTTAGTTGCGTTAAGTTCATGGCAAAATTGCTAATCTGTATTTGAGCAGAATGTTGAGAACAATTAACAAAGTATGATTTAGTTACTTATGCTTGTGCTTTTATGTGTTACTGTTTACTGCAAGGATGCTCCGTTGTTCATCAGCTTTTTTTTGGAAAAAATTTTCTGAAATGAAGTACAGCCAGTTTTTTAAAATTTTGTTGGTGCGCATAATTGCTCTTGTTATGATGCAGTACACCTGATGCCGTGTTTGATGGATTAGGTGTTACTGAGCTGGGCACCAAATCAAAAGAAACGTTTTTCTCACGGTCGAAGCTGGTAGATTTTTGACAATACATCTTTGATCTGGTCTAAGCTCTAAAGTGTCTTATTGTTGGTCAGTTATTCTCGGTTTAATTCGTTATCCAAATAAAGTCTATAGTAATGCAATCCTCAGTTACGTTAGTTGAAATGTTAATATAACCAATACACATTTATAACCACAATTTATCATCCGTGGTACATATAGGCTATGTCCCGTACCTAATTTTACGGTGTTTAGAGTTTTATATTGACTTGCACGCTTGGAGTGTCATACTCTTGAAGTTCAAAATTTAACATTATTTTTAAAACCGCCACGGTGTAGGAATAATGCGTACGCTTTGTTTGTCAATCTGGATACCTAGCTATATGGTCAGGTACGACAAATAAGTTCCGAGTTAAACTGTTGCAGAAATGACTGCTTCGAATTTCCCGATGCCGGTACCGATTCAAGAGTCAAGAGGTTTTTTTGCTCATGGATAACTTCTTCGCGTTGTGAAATCACGCCTTTGCAGCTCCATTGAAAAGATTGTTTGTGCTGCACAACTTACAATTAAGTCAATGGTTTCAGTTTGCAAAGATTTGCAGAAAAGTAGTGAACATACATAGCATTCAGAGCTCTCCTTTTGTGCACAAGCTGATACAGACGCATCAAGCATACCTATGCATCGGTAAAAATGAATTTAGTTATTTTCGTGTAATTAATTGTAAAATCATACCCGTAGGTATTCTGAATAACATTACAGTACACATCTGACTGAAAACATGAAATGCGTATAACACTAGTACTACCATGTTTGTGTATTTTTATAATGCATAATTGAATTGCTGTGTATTAATGTTGCAGTTTCCGAAAAAAACACTCCTATTACAAAGAATTATTAAAATACAAACCCTGAGAGCATACGTGGACTATGAACTTGCAGATATTGAAATAACGTACGTACTGCGTTGCATCGACCAATCTGATCTTTGAGTGCAAACGTAATAATTAATAATTATCTTTCAAGTGGTTGTATAGCCAACGTGGCTTGTACTACCCTACCCGTATACTTTACTTTACTTAAAGTTCCAATTATCTTGTCATCTACTTTAAATTTTGCGCTTCATCTTAATTACAATATATATTTCATTTATTAAACGTTTATGCCTAAGGCATCGTATTATGACAAAATCAGATTTTTTTCACGGTGCATATAACTTAATACCAGGCCGTGTTGAACTGTATAAGCGTACAAAACTGATAGTACACCAAACTTATGCAGAAGCTAGCGGTTCTCAGGGATGCGTGGAGAAACTGGTTTTAATTTCTGTTCTGCACAATCTCACTATGACTGTTGCAACGATAATTACTGGATCCATGCGGTTTGACTTACTGCCCGCTGTTTGCTTCGCTTTCTTACAGTATACTCGATCTCCTGGCGTCGTAATCCTTGCATGCATAAAATAAGCTGACCGTTATTTTCTACAACGATACTTTACCTGTTACTTAAATGAGGAAATTCTTACAATATGTAGTTAAATATTTATACCTATTGTGTTCGTGTGTAATTACGTATTACATGCTTCTGTATTGACGTACCGCGAAAGTATGTAAAAATGGTGAAACTTATCATTTTAATGTCAAGCAAAAACCTTTATGCAAGAAAATCTCTCCTGGTAATTTTTCCAGCTGGTTCACTCTTTTATAATACGTACAGTATGCGGTGATTCTCTGTGTACGACATAAGAAGAACAAGATTTTTGTAACAGTGACGAATGATCGTTCTTATGGTTAGGTCCCAAACTGTCAGTCTCGGTGTTCGGTATTTTTGCAGTCTTCGTTTTCGGGAGTTATGCAATCATGGTTGTGTCACAAACGACAACCGCTGACATATATCACCGGCTCAGGTAAGTTCATTACTTTCTCCCGGCGTGCATCACAGCTAGTTGCGTCTGGTGAATTTCAGCCAATGAGCTCAGCTAGTGCAAGCTTCAGGCGTTTTTTTGTCTGGATGGCTGCAGCCGCGCGGCCGGCGTTCGTGCTTGGTACAATTGAACACGGCACACTGGCGTTCATGGCGGGTTTTTTCTAGTGTGTGGAGAACCAGTGGTACATATATGCGGCTATATGCTGCTACACAGCAAGAGGGACAAAGTAAGGCGGGTGCATTTTACCGTGACTGGCAAGAAAGTATTTGTGTTGTTGATGCCACCGGCAAGCTGGAAGAATAACACTGTGTTAAGTTATCGAGCGCGCGAGCCGTCGCTAGTATTCCGCCAGTTCGTCGGTTAAGTTACCTAACCCATGGGCTTATTAGCTCGGCAATCTAACAGTATCAGGCATTGATGGATCCTCGGTAAACGGACGTATATTATAGTGGTTGAGCCGTCAACCGCCGTACCACTGTGAATTCCCTTTGTCGAGCAGACAGCTTCTTCCCTGTCTTGTTTTTCCCAGGGAGGCAATCCTGCTTGAAAGTCCAGCCACGCCTTTTTTATTTGCTACGTGTTGGTTCGATAGAGCGCATCTCGCGTATATATATGTTTGTGCGGCGCGCGCGCCAGCGGATTGAGTAATCCTGCGCTTGCCGGGTGCTCGGGCCGAAACCACGTTGGATGGGAGAGGAGAAGATGGATCTATATATGCCGAATACAGCATGCGTATGATGATGTAAGTTTACTTTAGCCTTTCTAGCACACAACCAGAGCACAAGGATTGGGAACTACGGGCGGAAACGATCCTCAATTTCTCTCTCCCTTCTCTGTGTTCCCTTTCCCTTCTTGAAAATTGACAGTGAACTGTCGTAGTAGTTTTTATACTGCTGTGTGTGTGTCTGCTGAGCTGTTTTGTTTTGGATATTTCCAGCTCGCCCTTATTCCGCTAGACAGTATGTCTGTGTCTATATATTGCTCAAAGGTAGTTGATAGAGATAGCTCGGGTTGTTAAAACGAATTTTTATTACTTCCACCCCGGGAAACGTAGCGAGATTATGTCGCAGCACTTGTAATCCGACTGATTCATATTTTCCTGAGCCCTGCATTGCGCAAGAAACGCTGACGAAGGGGTATGAGGCAGCAGCACACACTTGGACATTCACTGGATATACTGATGTATCAGAGAGCAATGATATTATATATCCACAAACGCATATTAAACCCATTTTAATCTGGGTCTGGATATTGAGGACAAACAGGAGGTATGTTATGCTTCGGTATAGATCGAATTAGGTAGGTATTCGCGTTTGGAAAGGGCTTTATTTATACAAGCTATACCGCTACCGTTGGCAATATTACAGCGTGATTCTGTGATAAGATAAAGCCAGTTAAACTCAATATTTATACGATCACATACGATTGTTTGTCTATTTGCGGTTTTGATCGTACGGAAGCCGGTCGTTGCAGAAATGGGATATTTCATACGCTCTCTTGCGGAATTATTACCTCGCGCAGATGAACACAGAATTGCATTTAGGCAGTACAGAAGTGCATTTTTTCTGATTGATACCGTTAAAAAGTCATAGAGCAGCAGTAGTTTGTATGATCGATTCAAAGGTTACGTAATTCTTCGCATTTTCGGATCGATGATCAGAAAAGCACGACAAAAGTCGTACGATTCATTGGATTTATAAATATGACATAATGTTTATATAGATATTATGCAGCAAATTAGCATGGTGATTGAAGGCGGACATAATGCGCTGCGCCTAACGATATTTGGTGATGCGAAACACTAGCGTACGTGTTATTTTGCGATGCTCAAATAGTTGCTGTTGCGATGGTGGTGTATTGCCCCTTGTGTTAACTGATATCCTTGCTCGTATAATACACCATGCATTTTGATGGGGCTTTTTTTGGTTTGTTGAAGAAGATTCGTCGCCCGTAAGTGGCATGCTTACTTTAGCCGAATAAGTGAGAATTGCTTATGGATATCGGTTCATCTGGTGGTTTTAGAGTGGTGGTAAACCTTGGCGTAATGTTTGTACTTCCTGTACCGATGCTTGATGATGAGCCTATTATTTGAGACACCCTTACGCACACTGGGCAGTGAGCAGCTGCCTGGCTGCTCCGTAATAACCAGCTAAACCAGATATGTATTTATATTTATGAGCGGTATTTGCTTGACGACGGTGACGAGCAGTTCTAATGGAAATTCGGTTAGGGATCAGTGTATAAACAATGAGGCCGGGTTTGAATTTCATATGCATGTTTGTAGGTGAAGTGGTGAAGTTAATGTGTCCTAGGAGGGATATTGGCATTGCGCCGGCGAATGCCCATTTATATATTTTCCTTTGATATCAAACTACGATTAATGTGTGGTGCCTTGGCTTGGTATACACTGACATGGACATCTTGCCTAATGCATTTTTATTACCTAATTACAATTCACCGAGATAAACCCCACCGAAACCACTATTTGGTTGACCTAGTCTTGAAAGTATTTTAAATTTCTTCCATTTCGTCGTAAGTTTAGGGTTGATTCGATGCGTAAATTAGGTTTACAGATGGTCAGTAGTACTGGCATCAGTATTACAGCTCATCAGAATTCAAATTACGTTTTTCTGCAACCAAGTTGCATGTCAGTATGGACAATAATAACTACATGAATTCCAAAACCTCGCAGAATTGTAGGTCTGTATTGTTACCGTAAGCCATTTACAAAATAGATAAATTTATTACATTTGTTGACACATTCTGTAAAACAATTTGTCAACTTTCTTCGTAATTCTCAATACATGCACAGGCAACAGTTTCTAGCGAAACCACGGCTGTTCCGATGCAGACAGTCGTTAACATTTACTGATATTTTGTAGTTGCTTTTGATATTTTGTTACCGTTGGCGGTGGATAATACCTAAAGTCTATAGATTCAGAATTATAATTAATAAAATTATTGTGAACTGCCTACTGCCAAACACACGAAGTATGAAATAGTTATGTTTTCATAAATCTGCAGACTTTTTACGTTTACGTTCACGTAAAAGGCAATTTTCTACGACAGCAAGCATTTAAGCGCTTCACTTAGCGATTCAACCGTAGGCATCATTAGTGTCAGACATAATATTTATTCGTAAAACTGCGGATTAAAGAGCGTCTACAAGTAATTATATCTTGCAATGGTTCCAAGCGTTTGTTTGGTAACATCGGATTACTTTCGTTTGTGCTTTCCGTTGTCTCTCTGTCATAAAAAAGAAAAACTTTCTGTAAGGTGTAATTAAGCAGTAAAAGCTTGACGGATAAAGCACGTACCTATACCAACAACTTAGATATCCAATTTCGCCGGAAAATTTTGTCGTTTCAACTACGAAACACAGAACCGATATTTTGTTTTATACAGTATGTCGATCGTAAATAATTTCGATTGCTTTCAGTTGCAAGTGCAGCGTTTGAATAAATTTTCTTGCCGCTCTAGATTTGTTTACGCGCCACGAATAATTAGATTTAATACTAGCATTGAGCTGAAGATGATAAACATCCAGTCAAGTTGTACAGTATTTTATTTTGTCGATATTGTTCTACATCTTGTCTTTTAATCAATATGTACAAGATATAAAGTTGCAAAACCGTAATGAAGCGAATACTTAACAACACAGGGGTGCTATTAGTTCCGGCAACATTTATCCAAGTAGGTTGTTTTGGGAGAGACGAAATCGGCGGGAATGGCTGGTCCGAGCTGAGTGATTAGTGGTGTTTTGCATCGAAGCTGCGTCCGGTTGGCAGTCGGCGTTCCGGTGATAGCTGGCCCTCAATCCGGGAGAGGCCCAGAACGGGATGCGGCATGTGCGCGCTGTATATCTGCATGCATCGACAGATTAATATTCAAGCTGGGCATATGATAACGAGGATTGATGTGCATGTTTATGAATGGCGCCCGGCACTAATTACTAATGGTATCTTCCTTTATTTCCGGTCCGAAATTGATCGACAGTGGTAAATACTGAATACTTGATTCGTTGGAGTATGGTACCCTTGTAATTCGTTAACTAAATATGTACAGTATTTTAAGATGCGGTCTCGCAGTGTGTATACTGCGGAGGTGGTAGTTACAGAACAGTTCGTGCACCAAAAATTGTATTATCTTAATAAATAATCCGAACACTCATTAAGCTGTGGGTGTTGCATTGTTAGTTTTGACAAGTGTCAAAAGACACTTTTGAAGAATTCAAAAATACAGACTTACCTCATACATTTCGAAATGTCGCTCTTGTACGTCAGCCATAACATGCGCCATTGATTAATTTATAAGCGGTATTTTCGGATACCGGTGATACGACAATATTATTACACTGCATTAATTACGATGCGTCCGGCGCTTCTGCTGCCTTTTTGGAAATTGTGCTTTTTTTATTAATCAATCCAAGGAGCTGCCAAGATTGTAGAGGTTATCATGACACCCTTTACGTATTAGACGCATGTGTAATTACAACAGAAGCTGGAAGATGGGTAGAAAATCGATTAGCAATCGAATCGTATTTGGCAGCTGGGAACAGTCTGCCTTTCTTTCGGTATGACAAGAAACTGTATAAACTGGACGAGGAGTCAGTGGAAGAAGGCAAAACGACCAATAAGGATACTTGACATTTTAGTGGGTTCCTTACGAGAGTTTGTAATTTCTGGAATTTTTTGCTCCGATGATGATGATCCTGTGATAACGTAGACGTGCCGTACTGTAGAGTCTGTACATGTGCAAGTAGTGCTAGCAGAAAAATTCAGATACTTATTTGCAGTTGCTGGTACTTCTGGGTGCTGATCGAGGATTAAGATTTCAGTTTTTGTAAAATGTTAAGTTATTTACAAAATGCGCTTGATTCGCAATTCGCTCCTGTAGATTTGCATAATGTCGTACGACCAAGAAATCCAGGTTTTTGTTTCCCCAGTAATTGCCGGCTGGCCGTGGAATAGTCATTGCGTGTTGCAGGTGTGCAGCATTACAGTTCCTAAGGCTGAGCGGTTTAGTAGTGAAAATTTTACTGCTGGCGCATGTCACCGCATACTAAAATTTTTTATAGCCAACCCAACCCAAAATACTGTTCCGGAAATCGGATGTCATTGAAATCAAAACGTTGCAGGAGTTGTTGATTATTATAATCATTGTACAATACTATAATAAATTTTATAAAACTTATTATGAAAAGGTAACTCATGAGATACGAGATCTGTATTTTGGTTACTTAATTGCTGGTTAATTATCGCTACTTGGTCTACTGTAGTATAGTATGTTATGATAAGGAGAATCTGTAGCACACATTTTGAACGATTTTCTGTGTTCAGTGGAACGCATAGGACGGAAAGCCATTGGTGGGAATTGTGCCATTTTTCACACTCCGCAGCAGTCTCACCAGCTGTGCGCAGCGATTATTCCGTTACACCATATGGCCACTATAAAAAATTAGTGGCTAGAGGTTTTTGAATTCGCCGATTGAAAATTCAAAGGCTTTTTTGCAGTGTTTTGATCGCTTCTGTGATCATGCGGCTACGATGCCGAGAATTAAAAAAGGAAACCGGAAGGAAGCACTGCATAATGGCATTTCGAGACCTACTTTCACGTTGTCATCCATAGCTAGCCTGACGCATTCGTCTATTTTGACCGAGGCATTTTGTTAGAATAAAAATATTGCAACGAAGTTTCAGCTGTAGTTATTCTTTATTGTACCAATGGTAATGGAACAAATTGGATATGGTGCCTAGAATAAATGGATAATATACTAGCAAATTTGTTATTTCTACATATGCTCATTACTATAAGTAATGTTCTAATTAGTTAACAAAACTATGTTTTAACAAATGTCAACTTGATTAGTGAATTTAAATGGGATGAGCTTGAACTTAACAGCCTGAAGGTTTGTTAACGTTTTCGTTTTTCATATCTCGTTCGGGTACTGTATTTTACAATCTTGCATGCCGGGATGCTGCAGTGATTCAAACCAGTATGTGATCTTCATATGGTTTGACAAATTTGGTCAGTACGGAAACACTTCGATTTGTCAATTCCCGGCAGTCAAACGGGAACTCGGTCAGTGATAGTCCATTGGCTTGCCAGTATTGCAGTGTGTGATTGATCCCAAGGCAAATTATTTGCGCGGATTACTTGTCTAGCGCATGCTGGTCATCTCAGTACTTAACTATAATTTACGATGTTACCATATTGTATTGGATGTTTTATTGCTTTCGGGAAACGTGTTGTTGCCATTTTATTCTGCTGATCAAACGTGAAAATGTATAATCCGTATAATGTACAGTCTTCATTGAATTTACGTGTAAAATAATCATGGAGTATATTCTAAACTACTGCTACTACAAGAAATACCGGTATATGTCTAGAAAATTCTAATTTGAACTCATTGTCAGTTGCTTGGGTAATTTATTAAGGGTTTTACTATTGGAACAGAAATATATTTTGCGCGAATACGGTGCATGCCTTGCATTTGAGGCACTTGAAAAAGCAACGTAATTAATTTTGATAAATTTTGCACGCTGTGGAAACCGAATCAGTTCAGCCCGATGTTAGCCATCACTCCTCAACATCCATATGCAGTGCAGTGTAACCAAGATACTCTTTTGCAGTTGCCCATGTTGTGCTGGCTATTGATCCTGAATACCATTAATTGCACTGCATGGGGTTGTAAGAAGGAATTCATTCCCGAGCATTTGTTCTAATGGGATTGTGCAGGCCGAGGACAGCCGTCATATACCCGGGCCCATCAAACGGATATTGTGATTCTTGATAAAATTTGTACCTCGCAATTGACTGCCTGAAAAGCAACCTGACGCTCAAATTTGTGGAAAAAATGGACGATATGCAGAGGCGGCTTCCGTCCAGCGCCGGTCTGCATGCCGGCTGCTTGACAATTTTTTCCAAATTTATAACTCTCCTGCTGTTGTTTCTCATTTCGTCTGGCACTTCTGTGAGAGCCGGTAAGTGGATTAACCACTTTGACATTTCGTGCCACGGCCAAATCCAAGAGTATAATGTGGCAATTTATGCCATAAGAAAGTAAATACATGATGATATGGTCCTTTGCATGCATGCGCCGCCGAACGCACTGATCGCTTGTTTTACAAACACGCTAACAATAATATGAGTAAAGATGATTATTACCCTAGAAATTATTAAGACTACAAATTGATTCTCCTTTTATCTACACTGATTAGTTTGTTAAGATCAATATTTCACAATTTTTCGCTTTGATTTATCGCTTTATTTTATATTGTCTTATAATGTCTTGTATTTTTAGAAATGGATAACCATTGACCACTGTTACGATATATAACATAATTTAGACAAATAATACAGCAAATTTGTGCATCATATGTGTAGAAACAAAAATAACAAATTACGAAAAGAGAATTAGACGGTAATTACAGGCTAATTTAGGCCATCAGACATTTGCATGCCTCGCATTTTTTTGTACATGTAATTGCGCAGTATTCGTAGCTGCAGTAACTTTTGCTGACGAATACCGCCAATTTCGTCTTGTGGTGCATAAAAATTCGCTTTTAGTGACGACGCCTCCCTATATGGTACGGGAGCCACCTCATGAACTTTTATATAAATTATCAAATCCAAATCAAGAAGACAGGCCAATAGTGTTGGACTGTGAAGCGAATGGCGATCCTATACCTGAATACAAATGGACCAAAAACGGACAGGAATTTTCGGTATCGGGTAGCGATGATCGTATAGCACAAGAGCCGGGAAAAGGCACTTTGACAATACATCGACCAAAGGATATCGACGAGGGATTGTACCAGTGCCGGGCTGAGAATTCCTATGGAATATCACTGTCAAATGCTGTTTATCTACGACGTGCAGGTACTTATTTTCTCATCAATCAAGGAGTCAGGCACAAATGATACAGAAAAAGTTGTCCGTGTTAACTGTACCATAAGGACTGATTTGTTGTGTCTTAAATAAACTGTCAATACGATCAAGGCTAAATCGGTCAGGAACTTGAAGAGTTCAATAATAGCATCAACAGTTTAGAAATGCCTTTTATTCTGCGGTTTGTATAATCAGGCAAATTAACACTGTGCTCGATTTGTTAGAAAATTTGTTGCTGCACCCCGGTAAAAGTATCCTGTTTTCTATATTATAACCTCAGTATTTACAGTCCATGTGTTTACAAATACAGACTGTAAAATGATTGTGATTTAGCTTTATGTCATGCTGTTTTTGTTAATACTGTTTCATACCGTACTGTTCAATATTATCCTGGGAATCATGTTAATCACGATAAACTGGTGTCATTGTGGTTTGGATAGTAAAGAAATTATGAGGCCTTATAAATTAAAAACAAATTATAATTTTAAAAAAATTTAAAACTGGTGTATTCTACTATGGTAGGATTGGATACGTTTCGAAGCGGCGACATTGCAGAGGAAGTCGTGGTAGAGGAAGGTCAAGCTCTGACGATTAAATGTAACCCACCAACCGGAATACCCCGCCCTAATGTTTTTTGGATACTACAAAACCCGAGTGGGGCCATGACGACCGTGAACGGCAGTCGTATATCAGTTGATCCGGAAGGCGATCTACATTTCTCGAATGTGACCCTTCAGGACGCCAGCGGTGACGATACCTATGCTTGCTCAGCTTTTTCTCCTTTTTTACACGAATATAAAACCGGCGAACTGAAAAAACTTATTGTAAAGCCATCGGGATCAGCTGCGCCAAATAAAGTCTCCCCCGTCTGTCAGTACACATCACCCAAGCATGTGACGGGAATGCTGGGTCGATCCATCGACATTTCATGCATTTATGGTGGAACGTACGTATACATATAATATTACATCTATGTACCATATTTTACATTGTATCAGTGTATACAGTGCAGATGTAACGGCTGAATATTTTAAATGGATATTAATTGCTTGTCCAAGTGGCGTGCATTGATTATCCTGATGTATCTATCCATCCTCTCTCTCTTTCCAGACCACTGCCACAGATTCGATGGGAACGGGAAAATGCTCCACTACCGCACAAACGACACTTTCTCACTGATTTCGGGAAAGTGCTTAGAATAAAGGATCTCAAATTCGAAGATCAGGGCACATACAAATGCATTGCTTCCAACGGGATAGGTCAAATTGGCAGCCATGCGTTCACATTAACCATTGAATGTAAGTTAATCTACTCGCACACAGATACGAGTACATTTGAAGAAGCGATAAACAGATGCGCACTTCCATTTATTTTGCTTGCTATAGAGGCATTACTGGTCCTGTTTATACAAATGCAAAACTGATATGTATGTGCTAGTACATACAGGAAAATCTTATTAATCCCTCAGAAATTTAAATTAGCAACGATATAAAACCTTTGGAGTCCTTTAACTCTAAGAGATTCTAGACCATTTTCATAGATATTTATTACGTTTGCAGTGTTTTTATTTACCTATAAGCTATAACAACAAACAAAAATTGCTCACACTTCTGCAAAATCACAGCTTTAGATTCGGTTTTTCAGCTAGTAACAGATCTAGTTTGGAAATTTGGAAACACATGTACATATTGGGCTAGTATTGAAAATTCGTGCTCTAAATGAACATTGAATGCATATCGATGCGATATACCGGGAATTTGCGTGCATGTTAATTCTGGAAGTTTATTGATTGGACCAATTTGTACGACGGAAAGATACAGATTGCTCAGGGAAAGGGTCTGTTAATAATGCATTGTCAACTGTGTGAGGTGGTTTGATTTGGACAAGGGTCACTCGTGTGATACGGGTGCTGTTATACTGACTATTAAGTAATCACTTATGCTGTCAATCTATCTAATTCGCTATTGCTGTGAAGTGTACTGTATAATTACCGCATTAATCAGCCTGCCACCATCTCCACCAGAACACTGTTTTCCTTCTCCTAGTGTTTAACTCTCACTAATTTTCAGCTCAACCGTACTGGATTGTTGCACCCGAGCGGGTTACCAAGGCCGAAGACGAAAACCATGAATTTTCATGCATGGCAGGAGGCATCCCGGAACCCAGAATCCAATGGTTCGTCAACGGAACGCCCATTGAAAGTGAGTGCGTAATAAAACATACGCTAAAAAAACAACAATCATTGTTATGTGAAATTTATTGTAAAGAATTCGATTTGCACGTGAGCGGAACATACTTACGTAGTGGGTATGGATCGATCATTACCGGTTGCGAACTGCACCATGGGACTGTTGGATTTAGCATGCGGCATAATACTCTCCGTGCATTTGCATTTGATTCTGTTAGGCTCTTATAAGCAGTGCAACGATATTAATAAGATGCCAGTATCGTTGTCCGTAAATTCAATTTACAATATGTTTAGTGGCATTGGCCTTTTATATAAGCGGGCTTATATAAAATATCAATAAGTTACGATAACTCAAACTGGCACATTGTAATTGGTATATGTGTACAGCAATGCAATTTGATTGTAGATGTAGCACGGGCAGCCAATCGAGTAATCAATGGGAATAACATAACGCTAACCCATGTCCAGAAGGATGTCGATACGGATAACTATCAATGTAACGCCAGTAATGCCCACGGATATATCTTTGCCGATGTTTTCATAAACGTCATGGGTAAGCGCGCCAATATCTGTAGAGCATTGCCTATCGAGACTACTTGTTGGCACATACTATTCTCCTCATTTCTAAAGCAAATGGTAATTTTAAACATCGATCAATTTCCGTCCCGTTCTGTAGCCATCGAGGCTTCCATAACTGAGACCCCCGCTGCACTCTCGGAAGCCGTGGAAGGCGCACTGGCCACTATTACTTGTCGGACGTACGGTGCGCCGCAGCCGACTGTCATCTGGGAAAAGGATGGACAGATTGTCAATGCCCAACCCGGCATAGGATCGCGCTACGAGATTAAAAGAAACGGAGACCTGCTTATCAATGGTAGCGACTTTGCCGACAGTGGAAATTACACTTGCGAAGCGAGAAATCGCCTCGGCTGGCAACGCGCTTCCGGCCGGCTTGACATTAAGAGTACGTAGTTGACCCTTGCATTTTAACTATGTTGACGGCTGCAATCGCTTTCACCGGAAGTTACAGAAAGCGGCCCCTTCAGGAGAATCTTATCGAAAATCAAATCCTGTTTGCATCTTAATTGAAGAAAACTTCAAACCAGCTGCCTTGGCAGTTGGCGATAAGGTCAAGGTGGAACTTGGTGGTGCTCTTTAAATCGGTCGAAAAACTGTATATAAAATATTCACAGCTCATAAAAATCAATAATTTTTCGACAAATTTAATGTTTAAAGCTAATTTTATAGTTATAGTTTTAGCAACAGATCGCTATTCCACGGTAAAAGTTTTGGGTGACGGTATTAACTTTGTCCGACTTTCGAAAGTCTACAAAAATGCATATTCATGTAGCAGTATAGCGTCGAAAAGCTGGCGCCCAACAACTAATGCTGTATGCGGCCGGTACGCTCAGGATCAGTAAGTACCACACAACGTGCAAATCAATAGTCTGCAGCGAAAGTAGCCCACTCATCCATATTTCCTCCTTTGTGCATTCTTATTCAATATTTGTAAATTAGTATTTCGCCTCATTCGCACTAGGAACGTTCAGTACAAGTGTCATTCTTAAGTAGGTCACACATTTATTGTAGTGAAGAAGGTTATTAAATGTAACGGTGTGGATTTTTAGGGAAAACAAAAATAACGGCGCCTCCGGAAGATATCGAACGGAATGCCGGTGATTCAGCGACATTCCGCTGCTCGGCCAGCAGCGATCCCAATCTGGAAGTGCAGATCGAGTGGGCACGCGATGACGAAGCAATTAAGCCCAGCGAGAGTGGCCGCATATTCCAGAGCAATGACAACAGCCTGACCATATCCCATACTCAAGAGGTCGATTCTGGAATATATAAATGTATTGCACGGACGCGTTTAGACCGCGTGGAAGCCACGGCGTCGCTGGTAGTCCGTGATGTGCCCAATCCGCCAATTAACGTCAAAGTTCAATGTGAACATCGTACCGCAATTGTCTCATGGGGAAACAATGGAGATAACCGTGATCCAACTTTTGAATACATAATCGAATACAGTACATCGTTTGAGCCCGGTGCCTGGAATGAACTCAAAGACAAAATTCCTCCTGGTGATTTATCTCAATCAATAGAGCTCAGTCCGTAAGTTTATTCGCTTCGCATTCTATGCAACAATTTCCACACAATAATAAATGTCCCATTGTATTATAAAAAAACAAAAACAGCTTTACTGACAGCATGACCACTGTCGCATCGTAGGGTTGCCATTGCCAAACTGCTGAGAGACAAACATATATAAACTGCTCGTAAACACGAATTGCTGTTGCACCTGTGCCATAACGTTGCAATTTTGTCAGCGTATAATTTTGGTCACTACTTTTTTCTTACATATTATATTGTACCGTAGTTTGTGTATAATATAACGAAACTAAGCTACGTACAATGTTCCCTTAGTGAACAAACACTCCCTTTTAACGCTTTAAACATTGTAAATCTTTTAATTTTTTACCTGTAAAACTGGAACGCTACAACTAATAAGACAAATCGTAATTATACTATTTTAGAATTTCATATTTATGAATATTGCCGGCATTTATCGAAAGCGCTAAAGGTTACGGCTTGTTGGACTCAGCAATGGTGTCAAATTATACGGATATACCGTGAATAAAAGCGCGCAATGCGTATGTATGGATGCAGCGTACACTGCAGCATGTCCGCTCCAAGCCAAGAGGTCTGCACTACGCCGCCGGATATACCGTACAAGAATCCCGATAATGTCCAGGGCAGAGGGGATAATCCGAGTAATCTTGTCATCTCGTGGACGGTACGTATGCTCATATAGTCTGCATACAATGCCCATACAGTGCGTACACTGGGCCATATCCCATCAGCTTATGCTAATCATCCGCTGATTATTCATCAGCACTTTGCTAATCCACACTAGTGGGACATAGTCGCAGCCGGAAACCGTTGATAATTTTCAACCCGCTTGATTATCGTTACAGCCCATGCCGCAAATTGACCACAATGGTCCGGGATTTTATTATGAAGTGAAGTATATCAGAGCCGATCCCGATCCAAATGCCCAGCGGATAGAGGACAGTATCCCCATTAAAGACTGGCGTCAGAGTAGTGTGACCATCACCAATCAACCGACGTATGTGCCTTACGATGTGCGGGTAATTGCCAATAATGATCTCGGCCGCTCTCGGGCGGCGGATGGGGCGCCAATTCGGGGCTTTTCCGGCGAGGATCGGCCTACGACGGCTCCGGGCAAGCCCCAAGCGAATAAGCTCGTCGACGGCCGAACTGCGGAAATTTCGTGGCCACCGGTTCCGGCTGACTCCATTAAAGGTGAGTATTTACTGAATCCTGAAAAAGTGAATTATCCAACTCTGAAATTCAAAACGATTGGTTCGATGGCTGCCAAAAACAAGTAGCTGGCCGCTATGGTTCTTTATGGCTTGTGTCCGTAATATCGACAGGGATAATTACTGTATCTGTACATGACAACAACATATGCACAGAGGTTGGTTGTGCTATATTCTGATCAACAGTCTTTTTTAGCTTTTAAATTTATTACCCTGTTAAGATAGGTCTATGCACGATACACTGAACATCCATATATTGTCCGCGACTTTAATGCTATGCAGTAGTATTTTTGGAAGCACATCGCGTATGCAGGAAACTGCAATAATCTAATTTGATTAGATGCTACTGCAATAAATTTTTTATCGATTCATCTGCACGAACTGTATGCTGTAGCCATGAACTGTTTCCCGTTGTGCTTTTACGTAAGGTTTTATAAACTTACTATGCAATAGCGCTGCTCGTTGACCTGCGGCTGGAGTTCCTCGTATGTTTTTGTAGCCGGTGCTTTCATGCTTTATTGTCAGCGTGACCTGCTTTTAGTGGCCGGGTTGTCAGAAACAAATCCCAAATATTAGTGGAATATTGATTTTGGATTATTTTCTTAAATATAAGAGCTTTTCAAAAGTGGCTTACATTGGCTAAAAACGGAGTCACATTGTTTGTGTCACTTTCAAATCTCTTGCTCTGATATGACGCAAGAGGTTAAAATTTACTTTAGGAACGTCAAACTGCTCAGCAGTCTGCATCAGGAAAAAGGTACTCTTGTACTATTCCCGTACGTACTGCTGTGGTTGTAAGAATAATAATTATTATTATTGATAGTGATCGCTGTGAATACAAGTGTACTGCACGATGTTGCCAAAACTGACGGCGAAATTTATTTCATTGTTCAATGCTGATGATTTATATGAAAATTTTGAATTTGGTACTGCATGTACCGGTACTCTACTTCGATATGTCAAAAAGTTAAAACAAAGGTACGACGACGTCACGACTTGCTGTTAGTTCGTGCAACATTAAACGCACAAAGTGAGTCGATGAAAATCATCGTAATTTAGAAATGTTAATGGAATTAATTAAAAACGACCCCGTCTCGCAAAGTTATTGATATTATTAAGTAGGCGTCAAAATCTATTCTCAAACATACAGTATTAAAGCAAGTGGTCGAAGATAGTGATGGCTCAGCATTAATGATTTTTTCGTTTCCTTGTAGGAGATTTTAAGGGCTATAAGGTTCAAGTAACTCCGACAGGAGAAACAACGCCTAGGGAGATACGCGTTGGACCAAATGCATCCTCGGCGGTTGTGGATATACTGAAGCCAGCCAGCGCAAACACCATTCGGGTACTGCCATACAATGGACAATACGATGGTCCTGCTAGCGATGAGGTATGGACTGCACGAACAAACTGCCGCATACAATTGCTGGAGACTGTAAATATCCACTTCCTTTTTTTCCAGCTCGTTATTGAAACCGAATCCATGCCCCCGGGCCGACCGGGCGATTTCAAAGCGTATCCCATGGGACGTGGCGCCATCTTTCTCGAATGGAAGGAGCCCACTGAGCCCAACGGCCGACTCACGCATTACGAGATCGAGTCCCGCACTGTGGAAGGACTGGCCGTTTCAGATCCCATCAGGGAGGCACAGAATGTCCCGCTCAGTGTCAACAATCTGAAATTATCGGGATTGACACCTGACACCAAGTACCGGATTTATCTGCATGCCGTTAATGATAAGGGGCGCGGCGAGGCCGGTATTGTGGAAGCGGCTACCGACTCCAATCGGACGAGTGAAGCGTTGGCGCTCCTCCCACCGCCCGGCACACCGGAGTATCTAGTAGCCGGAAAAACCAATGATTCCCTGATTATTGCCTGGCAGCCACAGGCGGCCGCCGAAGGAGGTCACCGCACAGGAGAATACTTTTACGTGCAGTATAAACGTGCAGGTGACGGGGAATGGAAATCAACCGGGCCCGTAATGGATAGTTTGCAAACGGAAATACATCCTCTGGAGCCTGGAACGACCTATGACATCCGGGTTGTGGCGGTGGAAGGCAACCAAGAGGTACAGAGTAACGTTGTTTTGTACGTACATGTCCATCACTGGCTGACATTTGAGAACGCAAATCGGGTATAAAGTTTCAGGTTAGGTCGGTGTGATTAATTATAGCGTGTTAACAAACCGCGTTGTGGGGTTATTTTGCAGTCCGATGTATTTTGATGCATATTGCCTGTTGTAGACACCGGGACCGATTAGACAAGAAAATACACTGGGCGTTCGAGAAGGCGACATGGCTCCTGGCGCATACGCAATCCTGCGCAGTGGATGGGTTATTGCCGCGATCATCATTGCAGCGATTATTGTGCTCATTTTCCTGATCGTATGCTGTTACTACTGCTGCAGGAAGAAACGCGGGGTGAGTTTTTAACTTCCTTTAGACGGAAAGGGTTACCGGGAGAAATCATGATGGTTGTTGTGAAACAAATCTGGCAATCATATTTTTCTTGCAAGTATGTTTTATTCCCATAATTTTTCTGGCACAGGGAAAATACGCGGTTAACGAAGGTGACCGTGAGCGAGGAAAGCAGATGCCTTATGAGTATCAAAAAGCTCCCACATTACCGGCTGCTTCGAATAATCTTCCTAAAGTCCGACCCGGTGACGGTCCTATAAACGGAGATGAGAGCGCCTCCATTATCAGTAAAGAAGGTAAGCAGCTCAGTGTGTTTTTCGTAAATAATGGCTTTGTCCGGCTTCGAGTGTTGGGATTAACAAATCGATAATTTTGGTGGAAGCACAACAACAGAATACCTACGTGCTGTGCAAGCACTTTTGCCACGCAGACTATTAGTACTATAATATAAGACTCGTTAAGTTTTTAACTTAATTTTCGCACACCGGTGTTTTTCAGTTGAAGGTAGCGAAGCCGACAGCATGGAGGAATACGCTGAACCCAATGATCCAAAAATGTTCTCCGAGGATGGCTCCTGGATTGGCCAGTATGCCTCGACGACAGTACGGTCAAACGATGCGGTTGTCACTACGAGCGTAAATCCGCCTTCCGGTTCAACGTTCGTCTGATCGGCGCTGTGCGCCCTCCGACACGCCGCACTCAGCGATCCCGGTTGTACAATTGTTCCCAAAATGCTGGACTGCCTAGTCTGAATCTCTAATTTTATATTCAGCCAGAATGCGTTTATTAACTCCGGAGATCCGTCTCCTGTGTGCCGCAATCTCTCTCGTTCGAATCTGATAGTTTCGCTGAATCTTCCTGTTATATTTGGACTCTTTTTGTGATTTCGAAGCAGAACAAGTTCTTTTCTACCAAGAATCTTCTTGGTAATTCGGAACATTCCATATTCATTAATGTAGGACAATGAAGATTTATTTGGTTTGATTGTCATGCATTTTTCCTCCTCAACGGATTATCTCTCTGGACACAACGGCATAACTGACTACTGCCTCTTCCCGGTCTTGAAAAGTGGTTTTATTTCTGGAATTTTCATTTTTATATACCTGGACCTTGCCTGAAGTAACGCCAACGTTTTGGGGAATTTTTTCTACCCTTTGACCTGCAACTCTTCAGATGATTTCCTTCTGGTTTGCATTTTTTGTTGTTTAATTAATTAATAATACGTGTTCTCTTTGAGCGTGTTGTCGTTGTCTTTGTACCTCGTGGGAGTGGACTCTTTATGAAGTATGCGGCATACGTCATGGTAAATTTGGAACTCAATGATGTTTTTACTGAGGAATTATTTTTCATGTGCTAGTGCCGATGCATACGAGTAGATAGACAGACGTCTAAGATGTTTAGTGTCTACCTTGAGTTATTGTTTTATTTGTTTTGACGAGTTTAATAAAGTCGTGCGCCTGTAACTGATACTGCCACCTGCAAAATCGCAGACACATTCAGTTCGCAATTTTATGCTAAAACTGTTTCAGGTAATGGCTGCAATGATGATATGGTCAGATCGAACAAAACAAGTAAAAGAAACAAACGGTTTTGATTTGAATTAACGTGTTTTCATATCGGTGACTATCAGTAATGTGGTCACTGTAGTGATACTGTGATACATCATTCAAAACGTGTGGCCGGCCAGTTGAGGCGGTGCTTTTTTTCACATGCCGACGTCATGCATGGAGCAAAAAACCTACAATACTTCGATATCATAAAGTTTAAGACTGTAAAATACTTACATGCAGGTACATGTTAGCGCCACTTAGTGCTGATTTTGACTGCTCTCCAGATCTTTCCTTGAATATCAGTGGGATTAGAAAAATTTAAATAATATGAAGCGTGTTTGTTTAAGATAAACTGCCTGAGCCCTGAAGTCAAAACACAACAAGTCTCTGTATCCCTGTAGAAGCACTTTTTAGTCGTAATCTTTTATTAGTACTGTAACTTAAACTACATGTACTGTGCCTTACGGTACATTCGGTAAAAATGAGTACGTACGTATTAAGTTTAATACGTTCAGAGTTGGTCACAAGCAAAAAATTTATTCACCACTGTATAACATTTTTATTTGTCTCACTTTAACTATTAATTGCAAATTTGCAGTTATTCTTCGAGTAGGTTCAGTTGATCGCTATGTTGACCTCATCAACACAAAAAAGTTCGAATGTAATTTCTGGGACTGCAATCGTTGCCGCAATACTGCCTACTCGTAGAGGTCTACAGTATTTTACGCAGGCAAGGGTGGAATTCTTCAATAAAATTAATATGAAAATTTATATAATAAACAAGTTGCAAAACTGTGGTTTCTATGGTTCCAAAAAAAATTATGCTATGGAACATGTGCAGCAAGCGCAGTAGTAATTTAATAGGTTGTCAACTTAAGGCAATTACTGTAAGTTCGTCAATAATAAACACAATTAATTCAGAAAAAAACTTACCTTTGCTCATAAAGTAAGTACTATTTAACGCTTATCGAGCTCTCGGAAGTGACATCTTTTGCCGCTGAAAGGATGCCGGGGCTTGTAGTCTATGCCGCACGATGTCCGTGCGGTGCACTGACGACGGAAGGCAACCGCAGGTCGCTTGGCAAATAAACACAAACCGCGCCGGACACCCCCAAAGCGGAACGCAACCCCCAACCCGGAGCGGAACCAAACACAAACGGCAATTTTACTGAAAAACTAAACCGCCAGTACAGATGACATATTAGTAAGCAATTTTGAAATAAGGAGAGTGTCAGACTGAATATAACGATTAAGCATCGCTTGACCAACGGCCAAGCATTCGAATCTGATCCGCTGGGATTCCGGCGATGGCAGCTGTAGTTGCAGCGCCAATTCGAATGGAATGGCATGAGTATGCAGGACCGAGGCATCTCTTGAATAACGTAGTCAGATACTGACGCGTTAGGAAAACTCCATCATGAAACATAAACAAAGGAGACACGGAAGTATGAAAGCGATCTCGGAATATTAAGTAATTACGAAAGTTAAGAACTGGACAAGTTTCACTGCGCAGAGGAGGAAGCAGAACTGTTACCGGAGCAAACTGAGAAGACTTCGAAATTTTTAGAGTCAGAAGAAGACCATGCGCTGAAATAGCCACATCAGATCTGAGAAGAGTTGACAGGGAAATGGCTGTCTGTTTGGGAGCACAGAACTCGGAAACACGAAGAAAACCATAGAAAGATACAGTAACGGCAGCCCGAAGCATTGCAATAGTGTAAGAAGGAATGGGGAGAGAAGAAATAAAACGAAGGAGAAAGACTAGTTTGTCCAAAGTAGCTCCATCGCGTTTGCGGACAGATTGCCCACGGATTCTCGTCCATCCAGAAAACATGAATGCCACAAACCGCTTATCCGGCAAGGGATCGCGATGGCCGTTTAAAAGATGATGAGTGATAACGGCAGAAAGGTATACCCGTGCAGTTGCACACGAGAACAAAAGCTGTTGAAGCAACGTAGTGCAGATCCGTATGCCTGACGGCTTGAGGGGGCTAAATGAGCGTGCAGTAGCGAAGTAATAGTGCAGTTAAACTGCGCTTGATTCATCAACGGGCATCCTGCAACATAATATTGATTAGTAGTTGTGAACCCAGCCAATGGTTATGCGCTCTGAGTACTACTTTCGGCGTGAACGTTGAGAACCGATCAAGGTAGGAAGAAAGGCTGGGAAATCAGGCGTAAACATGTCCGGTTCTGCAGAAGCTGTCTTATGTGCTTCAAAAAACTTGACCATCTCATGCCGGGATAATGCATCGGCCGCTAAATTCTCGCACCCAGGAAGGTATTTAATTCGTATGTGGAAATTATGGCGCGCAGCTTCAAAATGAATCGCACGAACGAGATCCATCACCCCCGAATGCTTACAAGAAAACTTTGCCCAGACTTGAGACACTGCCTGGTTGTCGGTGAAAAAGGTCAACCGCTTGCCATGCCACTGCGATCCCCAGTTAGAACAAGCAAAGAATATCGGCGCCATTTCCAACCAAGTTATATGCGGCTGGACGCATAAGATGCTGTCCGGCCAAGGGATATAAAACCACCGGCAACCGAAAATTGCACCACAGCCAGAGCCACATGCATCGGTGAATATCTGCAGAGAAGCACAGTCAGTCCAATTTGGTTCGATAAAAGAAGTTGTACCATTCCACAGAGGTAAGAACCGAATCCACCACTGAAGATCTGCGTGGAATTCACGGGAAAGAGTTACATGTTGACGCAGATCTTTAACGGACAGCGAAGTGTCGATCATTCGACGTAGAAAAATTCTCCCGGCAGGTATACATTTTGTTGCAAAACTGAGTTTTCCGATCAGACTCAAAAGGTCACGCTTGCAGCAGATGTTTTGGCCGAGAAAACTACGAACTCGTTTCGGAGCTCTTGGACTTTTGATGCAGGAATCGAGAGCGTTTGAGATTCGGAGTCAATGCAAATGCCCAGAAAGGTCAACTGGGCAGACGGACCTTCCGTCTTTTCCGGGGCTAAAGGAACACCGAGATCCTGACACAGGATGGCCATCAGCTCCGTGGCGAGTCTACACATCGGAGAGTTCGAAACACCAGCAAAGAAGAAATCGTCCATGTAGTGTAAAACATCTGCAAACTTTCCCACGTGAACGATAATCCAGTGCACAAACGAAGCCATGCGATCGAATATCGCCGGAGACGAACGGCAGCCAAAAGGCAAAACAACATCAAAGTAGTACTTATTGTCGAAAGAATACCCCAGGAGATGCCAATCATCCGGGTGTACCGGGATTAAACGGAAGGCGTGCTTGAGGTCCATCTTTGCCATTAACGCGCCTTTGCCGAGCCGCGTAACGATTCTCACAGCGTCGTCTACAGAGCAGAATTTCATTGAATAGGTTTTTTGACAAATCGAATCGTTCACAGAGTCGCCGAAAGGACGAGACAGATCCATGATTAGTCTCGCTCCACCGGTCTTTTTAGGTCGGACTCCGAGAGAAGAAATGACGAAATGTGGCAGCGGAATGTAATCGAAAGGTCCTAGCGTATGACGCAGACTGATTTCTTTGGCAAGGTACTTTCGTACAATCTCAGGATGGTTGCGAGCTGTCAGGGCATTGGGAGAGTAACGCGAGTGCTGAGAACCGGTAAACCCGATGACGAAACCGTACAACAATCCTGCAATGAAACTATTTACTGCTGCCCGATTAGGATACTAACGCAAATAACCCAGGAACTTAAAAGGGCGGAGTGGCGTAAATGGGTTAGCTTCTACTGGGACCGGTATGGTGCTCGCGAGTGTGACTGGTTTCGAAGCACTGGTCGCACACATGTATTCTTCGATGGGGGCATGGGGACTGGCACTTTCCCGCGTTGTAGTCCCTGCATACGGCAACGCGGGGCCCGCGAAAGGGCTGCGTTAAACGATAGGCGGATGGCTGAGATGGAGCGTTTGACATAACAGGCTTTGCACGTTGAAGACAAAAAGTCGCGTAATGATTCGGATCGCGGCAGACGAAGCATCCGTAAGGCGGCTTTGCAGATGGATTAAAAGCGGCATTGGGATGCGGCGGCAATTGAAGTGATGAGGTAAAACTTAAGTTCTGCGGAGGTGGCTGGTAAACCGCGGGAAAGGTAGGGATGGAACGCAACACATCCGCCATGATGGACGAATCTTCGGAAAACCAAGCTGTTTCATTCACATCAGGGAAGGTCATCCTTTCACGAAACCGGCGGTCGTAATCTAACCAAATCAATAAAGGTCGTGTTAATGCTAAACCTCTAATGATATCAATGTAAGCCAGAAAACCCGGGGCCAAGTCTGGATGATGGAAGATGCGATAACGGATGAAAATTAAAAATGCCTCCAGCCAGGAATTGAAGCTGTCGATTTTTCTGCGGCTGGTGGTTGAAGCTGCAGGAATAAGCTTGCCCTCCGAATCAGCAATATAAGTGCTGGGTTCCGATGATGTATCGATACCACGATGCATAGGCTGCAGTTTATGCAACTGGATAAACGAGCGACGATCAGCCAGCTGCTTGGATAGAGTCGGATCCAGTGCAGGCAAGCCCATATATGACGGAGGACGCTGTGACCCACCTGATGGCTGGGATAGGTCAATGAAAGGGGGTTGTATTGACCGGCGAGGAAGATCAGCGACACTCGTCCCTGCTGTGGGCGAAGCCATGGGCACTGTTAAGGCAGCCAGTTGACTTTGCAACTGGGAAATCGTTTGCTCCATAGCAGCAAGATGGAGAGAATCGGGAGAGGTTCGGTTGACTTCTTCGGATGGCTTCTTTTTTGTCACCCCAACACGTTTCTTTTTAGGTTTGGTGGAAGAACGCGTTGTAGGACCCATTTTTATTGCGCAAAATGGTTAAAGATCTTAAAATTATAATATTGCTGTACTTCATACGACGTATTAATACTCGCTCTGCTTGTGACCTTAACAAATATCACTGGTTGCCAAGCATTACGAGAGCTCTGCGTTAACGACATTTAATGCTTTCAGCATTAAATGACATTAACTGTAGCAACTGTAAAATACAGTAAGTACTGTATAGCTCCCGTGACTACAACACGACGAAAACCTTACTATACGATTAAGATAGCAGCAGCAGTTTACAGTAGTTTGTGGTAGCAGTAGTTTACACAACAAGCTTTTCAATTAAGTACTTATGTTTATCCGATGAAATTTGAATACGATTACGTCATTCATATGGCTGAAAAATTAGTTTGTATTTTAATGGACCTCAGAATTTCGAGTGCTTATATATTATGCTTTTGCCTAAAACAGTGTTTACACACAGCGTTTTGGTGGTGGTAGCTGCTTAAGGAACATTTGCCAGTGCGAATGAAATAAAATAATCTATTACTTATTACGATCTTTGAGGGAATCTTAATTGCAATTTGTGATTTATCGTTTTTGTGACGTACTGTGCATGTTTGTTGCAAGAACACCCGATGTATCCATAAACTGCTGCTTTTGATTTCTGCAAAGCAAATACAAGTCTAACAGCAGTACAATGTATTAAATGTTCGGGCATTCATTGTTTTACCGTACGTGTCACTTGAATTTGTGAGGTGAAAGTTGAAACGCTGACAATGATAATAAAAGAATAGTGAGTATTCCTTAATAAATGTGGTATTTCTGCTGATTGTGCCATCTGTTAAAAAACTCAAAGCATTTCTCATCCGACAGCCGAATAATTCTTCCGATATCGATGGAAGAGGTAAGTTCGCTAAGGGTAAAATGTTATGTCATACTTATTAAGTATACAAATTATACGAAACCAGTATTATTTTGAAATTCATACGTGGATGTTATCCCGTTACAGTATCCTATCGCTCACTCATATACAACAACTGCTGTAATTCGACAAGATTTGGCACTTGGAGATGATATCGAGATATCGAAGAGCGAACCGGTGACGAATATTCGTTTGCCAGATGGAAAGCGCACCAGTGGTCATTTCGTCCACAAGGTTTATCATTTGCGCAGGTACAGATGGAAGTATCGATAGGAATTTACGCATTTGTAGCGCCTTTCAGAAGCTGGCAAATTATTTGTATATATATATAGATAATTCTTTACCGATCACGGGCTGTTTTACTATGCAGAAGCCACAATATCATTAATGTTTTGCGTAATCGACTGATTCGACTCTAACCTAATGTTGAAAGTGCATGTGCGCTGCCCTTTAATTTACTGTGCTTGTAAAGCATGCACATGATTATAATTGTATTCAAACGCATTTTGTAAATCGGCGAAAGATGTTTTTTACGCCGCGCGGCTGTACCTCTCAGTTAACAGAAATGATTTCCCGTTTATACAAACCATAAATACAGTGTATTAATGCATTCTCAGGCAAGTTCCAAAATGGGCGAAAGTCTTGGCTCCTAAGGAACTGCTCGTGCTTCATGAAAAAACTTGGAATGCTTTTCCTTATTCACGCACTGAGTTTTCGGTACATATATATATCAAAATATGGCATATCACAATTTGTACCAAATGTCTGGAAAGATGACATACTCGCACATGCTCAGCAATATCATTTTTGCTGCTACAGAATCCAGAGTTTCTAAAAGAAAAACTATCTCTGCGCCTTGATTCCATATGCGCTCCGGATCGCGGCACTTCAGAAAATGTAACATTCCGAAAGTCAGCATGACCATATTTTTGTTCCATAACACTAACAAACTGCAAAATAATAATTAATTTTTGCGAAGATTCACTGCTTGACCCCAGCGGAACTGGCGCAAAGAGAAATAATCTACCTGGACATTGCCGGCGAACAGATTCCGCGTAAGGTATTAAGTATTACAGTCGATAACAGCTGCAGCCACGATCAAAATTTTGACTATAGTTTTAGCTTTAAACTATACTGATGGTGAGCGTTGAAGGCATAGTTAAATGACTCGAATCAAAACACTAGTGCCAAAAACATGGGAGTAGTCGACGTCCATGTCGTCATTAATATTTACGGTATTCGCTACCATGCAGTGACCACTGAAAATTTTCTGGTAGACTAATACTGCATGGCATGGTCAGTTCTTTTCATTCGGTTTGTTCGGGCAAATTTTTTATTTCACAGGAGTATAAGGCTGAATGCGATCCAAAAATATACCGTTCCACGCGAACCGGAAGAGGGCCGCTGGTCGGGGATTGGCAGGTTAAATGTTTGTCCTCATAAAAAATCATTACAGTTCTGTTTTCAACAGTTTAATTATGGTTTAAGCATTCGGTCTCTCCCGTCATGTGTTGCTACAAACTCATGACAATGGATTTCAAATGGCTTGGACTCCAGGATAAGGTTGAGAAATATGCATACGAGGTTGGCAACGTAATTGGCATTAATTGTGGACACTTGGAGGCCGCAACATAGCTGGTCTTATAAAAGCTGCGGGAGATTTTTGTTGTGATTACGTGCTTCCGATTATGGTCAAAAACAGAAGCGTAACGTGAAAGTTTAGTTGGTTTTTTTGTTGTTGTTTAGGCTGAACGAAAAGTGTTCTGCCAGTTTTACCGCCAAATGTTTTGCTGGATAGACCAGTGGTATGGGCTCACGCAGGCGGACGTGCGCGCAATGGAAGAAGATACCTGTCGGCAAAGCTGCAGCCGTGCTAACAGGCCCCAGGGTTTGTTTGGGAGCAAATCGGCCGTCCTACTGCCGGCACGGGCTGCGCGTCTCGTGCCGGAATCCAAATCATTGTCTCTTCCGTTAGACCCATCCACCGGGTTTTAATTCTGATCGCAATTCTGTTTCTAAAATCTGATTTCAGTACGTGCTACGTTTTATAGTGCATGCATAACATATTATCTTCCACTGGCCGTGTGCATTTTGGTTTACAAGTTTTGGTTATCTGGAAGGCTGCTAGCTGCGGCGGGTACTTATCGTACCTATCGGACCTTGCCATTTTGCTACGTTCTGCAGAGTGCAGACTTGTTTTTAGCAATTTTGGGAGTCAAAATTGCCATTGGCATTAAGCATTTATAAAATATTGATATTGTATAATCGATGAAAATACCTTTTCAAACAATAATTTCGTAAACAAAGAAATTTTCGGGGCTAGAAGAGAAAATCTGTAACCGTACTCGTACATATCTGTACGGTGTACAGTTCTGTACATATCTGTATCTCACCATCAGAATCCGGATGATGGGTCGAAACGTGTCGGTAGGCATATTTCCCTGTACTGGTTGTACAACCCCTCATAGTGATGGATCACGATGACGTTTCGACGTATTAAAGTTGGCTGACGTATTCACTATGGCCGCAATGGCACGCACGCATTGGGTTTCTAGAATTTTTCTAGTTTGTTGTTGTGGACCCCGTAATATCTGAGTTAGAAAATAACATCAAGTTTTCTAGTGATTTTGATTTGATAAGGAGTTTTATTACAGTTTCTGCAGTTGTTTGGATCAGAAATTAGAAACAGGCGCATGAGGTATCCGTTGCAGGAATTAATTTATGGAGTCATAATTCATGCTTTCGAAACGTCGATACTCCAGGTTTCGAAATTTTTGTTATGTGTCTAACATTCTTCATTCCTTCTTGATTTTGTTTCTTGATTCTGCTATACGTTTTGATGTTCGTGCATGTTGATGTGCTTGACATTTTGGAAGCAGAATCGTTGTGGTAGATCCTTGAGTTGTTGCTGTGTGTCTTACAGATCTGTGTCTTCTGAATCTTACTGAATCTACAGCTCTGCCTCCCTTACTGGCCTTACACGATGAATCGACGCGATGGTGTAAGTCCAATTAATCTCATTAATCAGATCCCATTATGTTTAAGAATTGTATCCTCCCCTGTCCCTATATTGTTTCCTTACTCCGCCTTTCCCCACAAGTTCTTCATACAATCATACTGTGCTGACGATCCCTGAACTGTTTACTGATGGCGAGCCTGTGTTGATATCGTGTAGTAAATATATTCTGGCGAGTCGATCGATACTGACGATACACATGTCACATTCGCTGTATGATCGCTGATATTTGCCTACAGTTTGAAAGCTTGGAGCAAATGTTATTATGTAAACTTTATTTGACATCTGCTGAAGACCTGTGTGACACAATCATACAAATGATCCTTTCTCGCCACGGGACTACGTGTTGTATAACTGCCATTTGATTCGCACATATTGTGTTTGTTTTATCTGCTTGTAGAGAGGAGATAGTGGTATGGCTGGTGGCGGTGGCATTCATATGATTCCCGGTGGCCGTGGGCTCGGCGGCGGCGTATGGTTGGCCGTGCAGGGTTTGCCGCGGGACTGGCGGGAAATGGACATATTCCGCGCGATGGAGAAACGCTACGGCAAAGTCAACGAAGTGCGCCGCAGCAACTCCAACGAACGCGAAGCGATGGTGCAGTTTGTCAGCGATAATGATGCCCGCTTCGTGTGGCATCTGCGGGAGATGGAGCTCTACGACCGCACAGTTACCATCGATCTAGCGCAAAAAGGAGGCCGCGGCGGCGGCGGTCGCGATGCCTCACCGCCGCCTATGCGAGGCGGCGGAGGATTCCGAATGGGAGGGGGCGGCGGTGGAGGGGGAATGGGTATGCAGGGCGGCAGTATGCGCCGGCAGTTCTCTAATGATCGACCAAGGGACAATTGGAGTAGGTTTCCGTAGTTTAGTTGGATTTTTTCCTACTGTTCAGAATTAATTGATTGGTTTTCGTGGTCTCTTGTGTAGTTTCCTCGCTATTTTTTGTTTCTGTTGCACAAAATCCGGTAAACAGTAACACGTTAATGGTATTAAGGACTTTGGTTTCTCATCGAATTTCTTTTGTAGATGAGCCTCGGGGCAATTTTGTCAGTAATAACAGCGGCGGCAGCAGTAGTTTCGGCAACGGTCAAAGTGGCAACGGAAATGCGCCTGTGGCACCCACTCCGCTGCCTGAAGACGATGAAAAAGCGACGAGAACATTATTTGTTGGCAATCTTGAGTATAATGTCACCGAATCATTACTGCGAAGCGTGTTCTCTAAGTATGGATTGGTACAAGACGTGGATATTAAGCGGCCCATGCAAGGTAGATTTTCAGAAAAATTACTTCTAATGAACGATTTTATTGGCAGTTAGCGAGAAGGGTTTCTGGTATTGATATTTTGCAGGGAATGGTGTAGCCTATGCATTCGTTCGTTTCTTACATCTTGATTTCGCCTACCGGGCCAAGTGTGAAATGAATGGCACACGTATTGGCAATTATCAGTGTAAAATTGGTTATGGCAAAACGAATCCAACCGTGCGTGTTTGGGTTGGTAATCTGAATTATCCCGGCACAGCCACTGATCTCGACGAAAATCGGCTTTTTGATGAGTTTGATCGTTTTGGACAGATCAAAAAGGTATTGTTCTTTTTGGCGATAATTGCAAATCCACTTCGTCAGATCAGCCTCGTTGTTGGTTATTTTTATCATATCTCTGTGAGCCGATATATAACATTCTATCGCGTACCAGCCTCCCATCGTGTTGCTATCCGAAATTATTTCTGCGTTATGGCTCCGAATTTATTTACCCAATGCGGTGTTATTTTGCTGATTATTGTTCTTCCGTGTATTGTTTCTTTCATTAAGTATGATGGAATGATTGTTGTTCAAGATTGATTACGTCCGGGGAGAACACTATGGATACATCACATTCGCATCGGTCAGCGCATCGCAGGAAGCGTGTGCCACGATGCGTGGTGTTACATTGAAAGTCAATGGCGATCGAGGAATGAAGAAGATTCGGTTGCGTGTAGATTATGCTGATCCGGATGATCCCTATCTACCCAAAATGAATAAACCTGAGTCCTCCAAACGCAGAACTGATGACAGCCGTAATAAGGATTCTGAGAAGGGCGATCGTCGTCGACAACCATCGCGCTCCAAATCGGGCTCACCGCCCCCCAAAAGTCGAGACAACGCGAAGGTATTGAGATATCCATGCAATTTATCATCTTTTCTGTTGCCTGAATTTATACATCTGTTATCCGTGCGATTGCCCTGGGAATTGACTTGTTGTTGCAAAAATTTATGGGTGGTTAGCTGAACGCAGTTGAAGTTTTATGCTTAACGCTGGATTCCTTCTGTCGAAGTGCTCTAGGGTTGCTGCTTAAAAAGTGCTGAGGAATTTCTACGGCGCTATTTAATGCTTAATGTGTCGCATTTTATGGGATTCACGTGGCAGGTAAATGTGAATCTCGGTGATCTTGAGCCCGTGTGCAGTCAGGATATCAGATTTTTGTTGAGCTGTATGGGAATCAGTACCCCCTGCCAGAACTGATTGTTCTGGATTGAAGTCCGAAAGTGATTTGTTTTGATGGTCTCGACTTTCGTGAACTGCCAAAACTAATAATTTATGCCATGTATGTTTGTTGTGGCCATTTTTGACAATCCACGGACGGCAGGGTGATCACTAATATTGTTATTGTTGATTTACTGTCTGCGGGCCGGGTAAGGTGACATTTTAAATTATGGACTTCTCTTAGCATGCCAGCGGGTTTGGTTATGGGTTTCTGGGGTTACAAATCGCCAAATTCTTTTACTCATGACGCGTATGCATTGTAACGCTGTTTCTGCTGTAGCAGACCAAACGTCGTCGCTCGTCTGTGGAAGCTGAATCGGAGCCAGAAGACAAGAGCGCCCAAAAGCGCTCGCGAGGTCTCTCCTCTTCGCCTCCCCCGAAACAATCAAGTAAAACAAACGATGAACGAAAGTCACGTGATGACAAGAAAACCGGCGAGAAATCCAAGGACAGCAAACGACGCATCCCTGTCACAGAGACCGTGGCCGAATTTCGCAATAAAACCGATGTAGTTTGGAAGGGCTCGGTTGTGCTGAAAAGCACAGTGTATCCCATTGCATCGCATTTACTGAGAGGACCCATTGGTTGGCTAAATGAAGTGCTGAGTCAGGGTGCGGAGCTCCAGATTACACGACGTTTACGACTGGAAGAAGAAAAGCTGAAAGATGTAACGGATAAAATGAATGCATCGGAGAGTGCCACGCTGATGTGTTTTGATGCCCCTCAGAAGGGTTCTCTTCAGAGTGGTCAGCACACGAAACCGCTCAAGCATTTGCAGGCATATTTATTAGAGAAAGAAGCGGCGGGGGTGATTAACGCTAATCAAGCGATAATCTATATCTTTCCGACTTGTCCCTTCGCCAGCCGGATCATCAGCGAAGACATGCCCACATTGAATCTACCGGAAAATGGAGCGCCAGTACGGGAAGAGGATCTGGGTATTCTCATGATCGTCTCGGCGCCGGTTGACAACAACCAGCCCACTGGTGGTGCCGCTGAATAGAACTTGTTAGGATGGGCATAAAGGCGTGCGGATTAGCGCTGGCGGTAATTTGCACAGTAGTTTTTGAGAAGCAGCATCTGCAGCAACATCAAATTGTTGTAGGACGAAGCATCACATCGGAACTGGACGCGCTTGGGTTACTTATTCAATCCTGTTGGTGCATGGTCATTGGATTTCATAATAATTTCCTCTACGGAATATATTCGGGTATTATTTTGGTTTTTGCTGCCGCATCTGATGGCAGAGTTGTTATCACTGATTGTAATTGACCAGTCATGCGGAAGACGGGAATTGAGCATTTTTCAAATGTTGCAAACCATTAAGTTTGTGTAAATGCTGCGAAGTAATTTTCTGTTCACTTGTTAGCCTACTTTTTCCCCCTTTTCAGTTCTCTTTCGCGCTCTACTCGGCCATGCTTGAATTTCTCTTTTAAATAGCGCCTAGTTAGACGATTGTCACTGTTCTCTATTGCGATTAGCTGCTTTGTTGGATTCTTAGTTTTGTTTTTCGTCACCTTTGACTGAACAAAAGCTTTTTATGTTCATTTGGGAAATTGTGCTACTCATGATCGGCTTCAGTAAATTGTTTTGTTAGCATGTGTCTTTTTTCCGTAACAGAATCAAACAAGATAAAATACTCGGTTATTACGTGGAGCATTAGAAACGTTATGAAATTTACGACGAACAACTCGGGCGATATCCATAACAATGGTACTCTGAATAATTTCCAACATCGCGGTAACCTTACCCTAATGCATACGCAAATATGATTATTCATTTTAAATTCGTGGAAATTACTATCTTCCAGTGAAAAGCAATGAAAGCTTTCATATCCATTGCTCAGAAGTTGTGTGTAAAATGTACAGCCTTCAGTGTCACTTCGTACTTAGCGTGGATGATTTTAAAGTTAAATCATTTATATTTTAAAGCTACCTGCTCATAATTTAAAATGTTACCTGATTACTAACGTTTGCTCTTACTTCTTAGCAGTCGTTTATCGTGCGCTATATACTTTTCTATATGTGGGGATCATAGTATGGGTCCAGACATTGACCTTTCGCTAAATTCTAATTATGCCCGTTATTACGTACGAGTCGGTACGACTTCGTACCATAGATGCGATTTAATATCACCATGAAATAAACCACATAACCGACACAAGAATTCAGACACCTACAAAAAAAGTCTGAATGAATCGACTGCAGTCTCTTCTAGTTGATCATGATTCATGAGCCGGGCAAACATAATCAACAGTCTTGTTGTGTGATCATACAACTGGTAATATTATGTAAAACAGTGACGCCCAAATGTAGGTCAAATCCAGTTTTAATCTATTTTAAAAATATACATTGTCTGCGTATGATAAACTAAAATACAGTTATGGATGGTTTGTTTTGAGTTGCGCGTGCGCCATGAGAGCTGAATGGTACTAGCCAATGTTTTCTAGGTCATAAATTGCGGTCGCATGCAGGCGCTGTATACTGTGCCGTATGCAAATTGTTTACCATTCTTTTCTTGGAGAGTTTAGTGAAAATTTATATCGGGGTGGGTTTGGCGGCTGCAGTGGACGCTCCGACTAAAACCCGAATACCATAATGCTTCGTCAGTATGTAAGAAGCGGTACGATTTGTGAATAATGCAGTCTTTCACAGGAAGCGACATTAACTTGTAAAATAAGATTGTTTCCCAACTGTCTGCGAGCCGAGTAAATTAAACGCCGAAGATATTTTTGTCGTAGCAATCAGGCCGGGGTCGCAACGAAGGTCCACAACCGCGCAGTTTGTAAAACTGGTGCAGAGATCCGATCATTCACACCTCCCACTTTATATACGAGCAATAGTAATGTCTCTCGGTTCGTAGCTTTTTGCATATATAAGGAAGAACGTCAACTTCCTCTTCGTACTCTTTGGGGAATGGAATCGGTACGCGGAAGTTTCGGCTCTTCTAAATTTTTTAAGCAGTTTTCAAGGTTTTGTGTCCGGATAAATATGAAATTGTTCTTCTGCAGATTACAAATGTTAACAATTACTTAGCTGCAATATGTGCGTCTAGCTTGTCCCTTCTATATTCTGTGGACGTTCTGACGAATAACGATACTGAGCACTCTGTTTATTTAGAACGCACAGAATGGCTTAAGTATACTATTTTGAAATGCCTACAATATCATATCCATTTAGTCCCCTATACGTCATACCAGTAATTTATTAACAGCATGCAGCCCGTTGCAAACTGTAGATAAGATCCAGTAGTAATCCATACCATGGTTAGATCGTTCAATGTGTCGAAACATTTTACTACTAATACAGAAACTAAACGAACACAACATATTCCAAAACTGACATCAAGTAAACATGAAACTGAGACGGCATTATCATTAAATTCTTAATAGATGCTGGTTGATGCATAATGGTTAGGATATTCTTTTATATTAATGGTCACAAAAGCAAACCAAGCTGTATTTGGCGAGTACCGGCAGTGGTGATTGACACGCGTACGCAGCGGCTAAACCAAACGTTTCTTTTATGCATGCAGAAAAGAAAATTCCTTTAGGTACTAAATGGTTTAGTTTTCAGCCGCTTTGGGCTTGTCCTAGACCTAAGTTATTTATCGTTTGTGGATTGCTAAATTTATTATGTAGTGCTACGGCATAATAAACGATCCGTGCTAAGTCCGCGTCTACAATACTTTCTTATACATAAGCGTTTAGTACAGAAGACACATCTGTACTACATCGTTTACGCACAAGATGAGCACTTCGTGATAATAATTTGCCAGTCCGTTCTTTTGCCAGTATTACGTATTACACTAAGTATTGATGATGCGGTGTAAAGGGTAAATGCGTAAAGATATTCCCACCCGCTTCGTCTCCTTGTGTAAAACTTGCAGTAGTTAAATTTTCGGCTATGTAATTGTACAGTATATATATGATAAATATATATACATGCGCCGTTTCCGAGTGCGCACAACTTTTATCGTCTAACTTGCCGTAGTATGCTGTCACGCGTTTTGCCGCCATTGGTTTCTTCGTAGACAGCCGAGCCAGTAGTACAGATATATCTGTATATCCTGCCATGCAGAGCAATATGTATGTGATAGTTCTATGTATTCGCACAGAGCCAGTTAAAGATTTGCGCGGGGTGCGCGTGGGAACGAGCTAGTCTGTTTGGGTACGTGTTGGTTAGCCGGTTGCACGGTGTATCTTGGCTGCCGGTGAAGATGGATGCTGGTCCGATGCAGCAAAGTTTTTATTGCTTTTTGCGTTATTGGATATCGTATATTACAGCATCTTTTAACGATCTTCTCTTTTAGCATTTCTTTTTAGCTTCGCGCTTGTGTGTCTGCTAAAAGCGACCGGTTTTGCGTTATACTACCTGCGCTCTACGGTTAGCTGCTCGGCTGTATACAATAAAATTCTCCATGTATCGGTTTTATTGATACCGCCAAATTGCCAATCCCATCCTTCTCGTCCAGTATCTTGACCAGTGTCGGCTTCACTGTGTATATATGTGCGCGCGCGCTTTTGCAGCTGTTTCCAGCAATCATACATGCATTTATTCATTAAAGCAGACACTAAAACCGGCGACAATAGCTTTTACTTTATTTTATTCCGAAATATAATGTTACGTGGGCAAAGGGAATTATTTTCACCAGCTGAATGTTGCGAGCGGCCATGATCCGTTTCTTTTGGAATAATTTATATTACAGCACATCTTCCTCGTGGATCATCGCCGGACGTTGTTTAACTGACAATGTTTCCACTTTTCATATTACGGATGATTTACAGACAGCCGCATATGCAACGGATGCAGGGTTTTTGTTGTATTCTGTGATCGGGAGCTTATTATTTATCTGGATTGGTCTCTCCCTTTGCAACCTCTCACCGGGCAGTGGCGCTCATTGCTTGGGTTTATCTGTGACAAAACTGTTCTTCCGTGCCGACCGGGTTCAGTGGCGATTTCCCGCTCAGCTGCAGGCGGGAAAGGCGTCCGCTTGCATACAAGGGCCACCATGTTCCATCCGTCAGTGCCCCTTTATGCTTTGTTCGTTGTTGCAGCATTTATATATTTTTCTTCTTCTTCTGTATATTCCATATTTAATCGCCGGTATGAAGAGCAGCATTGTGCGGGTCGTGTCGACATATGCTGCTACCCGCAGCAAAGAATATTACCATATAATATACCGGCTATATGGCGGACACTGCCGGGTATTGTCGTATCGCACGAGCTAAATATCAACAAATATACAAATGTTTATATGGACAACTTATACAGTCGGGATCATGATGTGAGTAGCGCCGACGACGCCCCAATGCGAGTATTGTCTGTCAGGCGAGATAGAGCAGTATGCGTTGATGAGATGATGCATCAGGAATACTGCAACAGGAAATGGAGTCCAATCGCAGCTGATTATCATACCAATCAGACTCTGGTATGGCACTGGAAGATCTCTAACACGGTTAGCCCTTTATCTGGCCACAATTGTCAGCTGTCTGACAGGCAACCTTGGCCGTCTGTACAACGCCAACGCCGGCTGCTGCTGCATCAAATGCCTTCCCATATTGTTGCTTGTCATCCTTTAACACATTTCGCAAGAACAATTGAAAATGTCAACACAACGATTTATGCTGCCAACATTCATCATCGTTACTTTGTAGCACAAGGTAACAACGCATGCACACACGTACTGGGGCACTATAGCTAAGACAAATGCAAGTGCCGCTTTTAGAAAAACCGTGTGCAAAATTTATTTAAATGTCTATTAATATTAATGTGCTCCTTATTAGCCGTCAAGGAAAAAGTCGTTCGGTTGCCAACATGCCGGCAATTATTTTTGACAATATTCTTTTTGCGGTTCCTAGAATCTTTTGCATCCAGTGCTTTATTTAACTGAAACCTATGTTTGTGCAAAAATTTTACACCAGAAATTACATACATCGACGCATAACAGCAAAAAAAAGCATACTTTTGCGAAATAGCCGCATTTCATAGGCCAACCAGCTTTTGCTGGAAAACGTAGTTTTTTCTGTGCTTTGCTTAATGCATCTCCACAGATCTCTTGAGACTTAATTACTGTGCATAAGTGATGTGGAATCAGCGTATTTCGCATATTTGAATTGAAGTTTTGTTGGCGTTAAGTAGACCACTTCTTGCGATACAGTGTTCTTCACGGTGAATTGGTTGGCTTATGAACTATTACGAACTACTACGCATACGATGGCGACTATAGTGTAACCATTTGCAACAAAATCGGATGTGTGCACACGAAAAGTCCAAGTCACCCCCTTTATATCAAAATTTAGATAAGAATAAAAATATCAATCAAAATAATTCTGTTACGGTCGATAACAGTTTTGTAGTTTTATGATAAAAGCATATATTTTTTACCGGTTTTTCTTGTTATGGCTTTTATACTTAAATTTTAATTGCTGGCTGCAAAATGCAAGTTTTACTACACAGTCAGAAAAATAAACTTCCGATTTTGCAAAGGCACCCATTTGAATTACCTATTAAAAGGGTTTAACACCTTGGGTTAGTACCCGATTGCA